GAACTTTTTCGGTGGTTTCCCACGCTCTTCGTTTCTCACGTCAAAATCACCACTTTTGAATTTTTTGAACCACTCGAAACACTGTGTTTTACCAAGAGCATGTTCACCGTAAGCTTCGACAAGCATTCGATGCGCAGCAGTTTTCTTCAAATGATAACAAAAAACCAATGCTGTCCGCAAATCGTAGTTCGTAGGCACAAAACTCGACATGTTTAAGGTTATAGAAAAATATACCGGCGTATGGAACTTGGGTTGTTGTGTGTTGAAAATCTTCGTCAGCTGTTAAAGGGAGATGATTGTGCTGCAGAAGCGGTCTTACGGCCCTAAACTGATGGCTAGTACCATCTATAGGGAAATTCCGGTTTCATTCTTCTACACCTGGTATATATATATATCTTTCCTCAACTTTAATAGTACGGTTACAATTACTTGATATTAAAATTAATTATAAAGAAATCAAAGAAACGGCTATTTTTTAACATGTCGACGAGTAACTATTTGAATTGTCACAATTAGCAATATGTTTATAATTATGATGCTCCAGCATTTACCATGACTTTTAATTTTATTCGAAACTTATTATAACAGATAATATATACAATTTAAAGTAAAAACGTATTTTTTTCAGATAAATATAAGGCTATATTATTTCACTTATTAAGAAAGACAGATGTGACTCATAAATTGGGGCATTGTCATCAATTAGGACATTCACTTTATTATCTGATCGAAATAAAAGTGTCATTCATAAAGTCTGTTTGCAGGTTGCATGTTATGCATGGGCTGTGCCATGTCTCTTCGACCTAGAGAGGGACCCTTGCGAGAAAATAAACATCATTGCAAAAGAACCCTTCATTGCGGCACAATTGAAGGCACGTTTGGTACGATATAAATTAACTAGCGTATTGCCAAACAATAAATTACATGATTTAAAAGCAAATCCTAAATGGTGGAACAATACGTGGGTGTCCTGGCAGGATTCCTATCCACTGGAACCTTTGCAAAATTCCTGCTGATGCATGTTCAAATACATTTATCATGATTGCATTTTGCTCTTTCGCGGTCGTCTCAGTGTTCTTTAAAGTTGTTAAAGTTGTTGAAATCTAAGAAATTAGACTCACACATTCTTAATCAGTGCAGTTCGCAAATCAATCGTTGACAAACAAGCATAATGATATACGGAAAGAGAACAATTCAATACCAAAAAATGTGTTTAGCATGAATTAATATTACGATCGAAGGTAACCTACGTGGGCTTTTCACATTATTATTATGGAACTATGACGATCGTTATTATCTTGTAAAATTTGCGGACAGATGAATATTGTCTTGTTGTTCTTTTGCATTTTTGTCTTCTTATTTGATTATTCCTATCATATCTTATTGTTTATTCTATATCTCATCTCTTTCTTTTTATCTGTTTACAAATTATAAAATGATGTCTATTCATTTAATTGTCGAGGCATTAATAATGTCGAATTTGTACTTTCGGCTTGAATTACCTCTATTTAAATCGCAAGATGCAATCCTGGCAATATTAATGTTTACATCATCGTGTAGATCACGAATCGCCCCTGGAAATATGTTCAGGAAAGCGTACTTTCTTGGCGCGAGTTTGCAATTCTATCGGAAGCCATCTGATCGAATTGCGATTTCAAGCATTACTTAAGATATACAAAATGATATGGAATAATGAAACTGAAATAAACATTTTATCTCGCATTTTAGCTCTTTATTCACGCTTCTCTTGATTCCTGTACGAAATTTTATATGGAAACGGGACAATCAAATAATTTATAATTTACCGTAGATTTACCTCTGGATTACCTATGATTCATCTTGCGCGGCTTCGCTTCGATGTACAATAATAATATTAATAATAATGATAGTAATAAGATAGCATTAATTATAACAACAAACCGAAAAACAATCCTAGATAATTTTGTGAGAGATATAAATTTTTTAGTTAATTAACCGACGGAATATCTACGCTAGCACATAACTAACCCAAGATTTAAAATTATTTTGAAATAAGCTACTGCTACTTTCTATTTTTAGTTGACTAAATTTTTTCTCTGTCTAAAAAGTCAGAGAAAGAAAGAGATAGACAGATAAAAAGACAACGGCTGTCATCAAAAACGAGTAGAGTCATTGATCTCGATATTCGCCGCGCGTAATAGACGGAAAGCACCTAATCACCTGCTTTGTAATTCAACTTCTCGTAAAGATCCGGTCCGATCGCCTTGATGTTCTGCTCCTGAAGGGACTTTATATTTTCCAAGCTGTCTCGGTCAGAACTGATACCATACTGCTCCGTGCGGCTTTCCTGCTTCTTGTTTGAGGCCGATCACGCTATCTCCTCGTAAATCATCCCGGGGGGATATTTCCGCGTACATCTTTTCGCGTTAAATCCGATTGTATTAAATTAAGTTACACGAATTACCTTTTTTTACTTTAATCTTCATCTTGTATTTGCATTATTCCAATAATGCTGATTTATAAAAGTTTGTTTAATGTTAACCCATATATCTCATTGTTTAACTTTAGCTGATCCTTTCATCATTTAACAGATTTCTAAATTTATCTATTAACTTGCCTCTTGCTATGGACATATTAGTATTTTCTCCATATGAAAACTTTATCGGAGGTACGTAATATGTTTCTGATGTTTCATTAGGAAAAAGGTTCATGATTTTTAATTCAAGTTATTCAATATCATTATTGGGCAAAATTCTGTAAATATAAGAGAAACATATAGTATATCATAAAACCATATTATCTTAGAACTGTATCATTCTTTATCAAGGGGAAAACAAATAACATGTGAAATTATAAAAAACTTAACTTACGTGAAATCATCAAGGAAATAGTTTACAATGAGGTTCACCGAGTTAGTTTTGCTATTTTGGATAAAAAGTAGTGAGCAAAGTTCTTGTTTTTTTGGATAAAATGTTGTTTCGGGGAATTTTCCCCTAAATTGCTTCGCGATGAGCACGACTAGCTCAACAATCCGAACGGAGAGGGGCGGGGTTAAAAGTTCTTCGGACGGTAGATCGCACGGATTCGAGCAAGGAAGACAGACACGATGGCAACTAAAGTAAGGACGTAAGAATACGCGATACGTCAAGGAGAAGAAAAGAAAATAATATTTATGGAACACGGTAATATCGTTAACAAGAAAAAGAAAATGAAGGCAAGATCATAAATTCCTCGACGCGATAGCTTCGGGGGAACGCCGCTCGAGCGGGCGTTCTCATCTGAGAATTTAAATAAATTTGCAACCACTGACATCGAGAAAGCAAGCGATATCAAAAACGTGAATAACTCCAAAGACGCGACAATAAATTTCGAGGAGCGCTGCAGCGAATGTCGCTCTTACGCTAACACAAGAATAATAATAATAATTTACGTACGACAATACAAAATGTGAGCGATAAAGAATCTTCTTTACACGCGCGCCCCGATAAGGTCGACGATTGGCGTACCCTAACACGAGAATAATAATATTAATTTACGCACGACAATACAAAATGTGAGCAATAATAGAATCTTCTTTGCACGCGCGCCCCGATAAGGTCGACGACTAGCGTACCGTTGAACACGAGTATCGAAACGTTAACGTTTTCAAGCGCGTATAACGTTAAGCGATGACCGAATTCTACCGTCGAATACGCGTTTCTAAGGCTCCGCCAAGGGAATCCTGCATCTAGCGTAATGCTGCGCGACAATAACTATACTATAAGGAAAGCACAAGTTGTTAGTTCGTCTCGCCGTTCGATCTCTCAGGGGGCGATGTTTACGAGGGTTCGCAACTTTCCCCAAGCCTAGAATGGTGCAGCCACGAAATCCCGTCGTCCGATTCCGATCGCTCGACAAACTCAACGCGATAGAATTTATCAAATACTAAAGTGTCGAGACGATCGACAACGAACAAAGTGATTCGGCTCTAACGCGGGTTCATGGCTTCCAGTTAGAAAAGGGCAACCTTACCGAATAGCTTCGTCTTTCCCTAAGGCGTCTCTCGCTACATTCTGCTCTGCGGTATCAGAAGCGGTAGCTCTGGACACCGGGAATCATCAGCAGTGGTGGTCGTGGCGACGGTCGAGACGCAAAAGGCACACGCAGGATCGTCCTTTGATCCTGTATCGACCGCGATCTCCTCTTCGTACATGCGTGGGGTCGTGAATCTACATTCCCGAACAAAAAGATGTTTATCTTTAAATATTCCACCATACATCTGTATTTCTCCAAGTGCTGCAAAATATAAGTAAACATGGTATCATGAAAATGTAATAAACATTCATACATTGAAATACAATCAATGTCCTGTATGTTTATCAATATAAGTTGTCGAGTGAAGAGGGTAATGATAGCACATTTCATTAGTATTTACGAAATTTTTAGTTTTTGCTGATATTTCAAACGATTTGGACGTATTATTAGCTTGTTAGAAGTATTTTGAGACATAGCACGTGAAGACAAATGAAGTAAGGACGAAATGCAAACGTTTCTCGTATTAAGAAAGCAAAATTTGTTTATCTCAAAAATTACATTAAATGTAAAAAGAAGTCAAAAGTTATTTACTATTTGTTGAAAGATGAGAGCAAATGTAGAATGAAAAACAGTGGGCGACCTTCTACATTATCTATGAGAGAATAATGAGCAACATTACGAGTTGTATCGAATCCTGCCTCACAGCGAAACAAATCATATAGCTGGCGTTGAAACTAACGTTAGGAATGTTCGTCACGTACTACAGGTAATGTGATAATATTGGACAAAAAACTTAAGAAGAACCAGCATTAACAGCGCGCCATAAACAAGACCGCTTGCAATTTGCAAAAGACCATGTACAGTGGAAGAAGAAATGGAGAAAAATAATATTTACTGAAGAGAAAAAATTTAATTTGGACGGTACTAACAGTTTCAATTACTACTATTATGACATATTAAAAGGGGAATTAACAAAAATACAGCGCCAAATGGGTGGAGGTAGTGTTATTGTGTGAGCAGATATTGACTATAACGGAAAGACAATTATTCACTTCATTCACAGCCGAATGAACAGCACCAACTAAATTAATTTGATTAAATATGAAATTAGTAAACATGCTGAACGTATTGTTGAAATAGTCTTTATCTTTCAGCAAGACAATGCTGCTATCTACTGCTAAAATTATTAAAGCATATTTCTCAAATAAGAATATTCGCATTTTGGAATGGCATGCAGTCTCGACTTAAATATTATTGAAAATTTTTGGGGTGACTTGCACGTGTTGTTTATAAAAACGGGAAACAATACGAATACGTTAACCCGATGAAACAGTTCATCACAAAGGAATGGACAACCTGTCGCAAAAGAGCATTAGAAACCTTTACAGAGCATTACTTTAAAGGGATGATTGAAATACTCGAAAATAAAGGAGATTCTAGACGCATTACTGGAAACTTAGTTTAGTTATTTGTTCACTATCTCATACTTAATAAATATTTGTACTTATTACATGCACTAACATTTTACCTTTTCTACTCAACAATTTCTTTAACAAAATCAAATGATAATATTTGCATTTTAGTTTGCGAACGTTTATTATACATTTCCGATGCTGTGTTTACATACATTTTGATAAACTTAGAGAAATACAAGCATATAATGCAGAATTTAAAGATAGCACACATGTCTTATCCTTTTGCCCGGGAATGTAGCTGCTTAGCATTGCGGATCCGTTTCCGTTGTGGACCGTTTAGAACGTGACAATATACAAGGTGTCACAAACTAATCTCAATTTCCGTGGTGTACAAATAGAACGAGTGAAACTGAGCAAAAGATGTGCCATTTTGCAAAATTCGCAATAGTTAGAGAAGAATTAATTATTTTGTATGAACTAATGAGCGCACGGGAAGAGGTAGGCTAGACTCTGTATAAAGAAAAATGGTTTCTTTCTGAAGATCTCCTATTAATGATAAATATCAACTGATAGGTGTGTTCCTTTTCGGCATATATCCCTGTATCACATATCGCTCCCGGTTTACTGCGTTACCCCGCTTTTAGAAATCATGCTTATCGTTGCTAAAAGATCTTCAGAAGTAGCCATTTTTCTTTATACAATGTCCGATCTACTCCTTTCTGTGCGTTTATTAACTCAGACAAAATAATTAATTACTCATTAACTATTACAAATTTTGCAAAATGATACATAACATTTTTGTTCAACTCCATGAGTCCTACATCCCCACGAAACGGAAGTATTCAGCTCTAAGACACCCTGTATATACATACATACATACATACATATTTAGATATACATACGTACATACATACGTACATATATATATATATATAATGTTGGGTGCTGAGAGAAAAGTCCTTTCCTGAAACATTATTTTGAGTGATCCGTACTAGTACAGGACTGGTAAGTATTGAAAATATGTATTATATTTTTCAAATTTCTTTTGTTAATAACTTTTTCGTAACCAAAAACCGATAATTAAAACCTTCTGAAGGTTACTCAGTAAAATGGCCTCTATAATACATATCATGTTCGAAATTGTAGAAATTGGGTCACATTATGCAAAAGTTTACCTAAGTAGCTACTTCATTTTATTTTCATGCGTTTTACATTGATTTACATTCGGTTGAAAAAAGATAAGGTACTCATGTAAATTAGATTCCGATGTAGAGAATATAAGACGCCACGTACCATGACAACGATTTTTCTTTGTAACCGTATGCGAACAACTTTGGCTAAGTAGTGTGTCATTGTATACATATAACGTGGTAGAAAAGCTGTGAAACAACACATATTAATCCAAATTGACGGTAATCGATTTTGGTTTCGGTATTTCGCGATGAATGAACCGTTCTTGTTGCAACTGCTCTTCACATTATGCCTTTTGTACACCTTGATACCCGTCGCTTTGTTGGAAAATGGAACGACCGAAGGAAATGACTCCAAAAAACCACATATCATTATTATTCTCGCAGATGATTTGGTGAGTAACTACATCAATGTAAAAATTATTGTTGAATCAAAGGGTTCTTCAATTATGTATTTTATTTGAAAAAATTCGGGATTGCTTTCTCGAAATCTATCAATTGGATACATTAAGAGACTTCTCATTGATTATAATAATAAACAGGGATAATGTTTTATGACGTTGCAGCTTTAGAGCTGCATGTCTCAAGGAATTTTTGCAAAGCAAGAAGGGACGATTCCCTCGACTTGCTAAGTTAAAAGCGATCAATAAGAATTCGATGAGTCGCGGACGAGATCGGAGCGGCCGAACCAACGGCATTTACGGGAACGGGTGCCATCACGCGTGTTAGTGCGTCGTTTGCCTATAAAATTTGAAGAGCAATCCTCGCGTCCCTTCCTTGTATTCCCCCGACTGGACCCAAAATAGTAAGAGTGGACAACTCCGTGGAAGGCTGAAACGAGGAGCCGTGTTCTCAAAGCGGTAAATGGGCCGAAGACGAGAGATGGACGAGCGCGACAGTAGGGCCGCTAATGACGGAAGGCTTCAGGCCAAAGAAACGGACCCCTGGTGATATGCAAGTGCCAAGGCTAGAAAAGGAAACAGAGCGCTAAGCGATACAAAATATTGTAAGCGCCTAGCGCCGAGAAAGTTTAAGTTATGCAACTGTTGTCATATTAGAGGTCGCAAACAGGAGAAATTATTGATATAATTACATGAGAAAAAGAGACAGAAGGGTAAAGTTAGGAACTCGAAGTCAAACGGTCGAAGTCGAAGTAAAACGGGAGGAGATAATCGTTGGAGGTCAGAAAAAGACGTTATCTTTAAATCGAGCCATTAAAAATACGAGGGACTACTTTCGTTCTTGAGGACCGGAGGTACTCGGTTCGTGGCTATCTGGTTTTGTATAGAACGAAGGACTGCTCTGGAGAGAAGCATATGTATTTTAATTATTTCCGTGTAATTGCTCCGATTAAAATGGTCTTTCTTGATTGAACTACGATTTTTGAAAAAAGCCCTCACAACCATCCTCAGACGAAAAAAGAAAATAGTAAATTCGCTCACAATATGATCGAGAGACGCGTGCTAATCGCCAAAGAGGACCGGCGGAAAATAGGGAACGTGCGACGTGCGAGAATATCCTGCGAAAGCATACTCAGAAGTGCTTTCTCTCTCTCGGAGCCCGCAACCCGAAGACGATATTTTCCCTCCGAGTCCCGAAGTCACAATCTCTTAATTGCTAAAGCTTCACCCCTTCTACTCACGAGTAGATTCTTCATAATCCATGGCCACTCGTCGACTTAAAACGAGCCCGAAGCTACCAGCACCTTCGATACGACCAACGATCCCAGAAGTGCTGAGCATGAAGCATGAGCTAAGATGCGAAAGAATAATCGGAGAGGCGGCCGTTACCGCCTCTGGCGTTCAACATTTAAGAAAACCTACCGGGTCTTCAGAGTTCGTTGTGTGGCTGCGGAATTTCAGGCGGAGACGAAAATTTTCGTCGCAGTCTTTATTGTATTATGATGAATATCATATCATACCGTTGTTTGCAGGGCTGGAACGACGTTAGCTTCCATGGTTCCGACCAAATCCCGACGCCAAATATCGACGCTCTCGCATATTATGGAATTATCCTGAACAATCATTATGTGTCACCAATGTGCACGCCAAGTAGATCAGCTTTAATGACTGGGAAATATCCCATCCACACAGGCATGCAACATTATGTTATACGTTCAGCAGAACCACGCGGACTTCCATTAACAGAAAAGTTAATGCCGGAGGTATTAAAGAATCTTCGTTATCATAAACTAGCTAGCAAATCGATATCTAGCTATCTACAAGTTAATAATAAATATATCTCGAACTGATTATTTGTTGCAGTATTTGAAAGAAATGAGTTATTCAACAAATATGGTGGGTAAATGGCATTTAGGTTTTTACAAACACGAATATACACCGCTTTGGCGCGGCTTCGATTCGTTTTTTGGTTTGTGGAACGGTCTCCAAGATTATTTTAGTCATGAAACAGTAGACCCAGTAAGTTATTTTAAGAAAATCATATATTTCTTATTCAAACACAAGAAATTTTATTTTATGAATTATAAATATTAACAACTAAGATTTCAGCTTATCTAGTAATATTCTCTCACTGAATCGTTCACTCTATGTTGAAAAATTATTCAATAACGAGTTTCAAATCGTGTAACAAGTCTTCTCAAGCTGATCGCACCTATGTTAGCATAGGTCCAGCAATTTCGGTCTCCTGAGGTATCTAAATTCTTTGCTGTTATCAAGGAGAAGAAGCATGCTCGTGGATTCTGTTTGTATGTCTAACTGCAGTTTTTACAATTTCCTCTTTTACAGTATCCATTACTGAGATTACTGTAGATGTCATTACGCATATACCAAACATTTACAAAACTTTGTTCTTGAAGTTTTGAACAATCGAATAATGTTAATGTTACTTTTTTTAAAACAATCCCAAAGTTGTATCCCATAAATCCTTTGCGATTTTCACATTTGCTTTTATTGTAGTAATTTGAAAGGTTCGACCTGGAGTTTTTTCCTAGTAATCAATACATTTGTCTAAGTTTAATATTTAATTCTTCCCTTTTTTTTTCATGTTCCTTCCACCCGAGTTTTACGTTTAGCGTCATGCTTAGCTATTTTGCTGTGTTACCATATGGTATTTTATTTGTTCGTTGATCTTGACTGGAATAGGTTTGTTCCTTTTCTCAGTGAAGTTTACATGCGTTGATTTAGCTTCGTTTAAGTTATTCCTCCACTTTTTAGCTATTGACCCCATTTAGTGTGTAAGTGTTACAAGTGCTTATTGGCATTCCATTCATTATTCTGAGGGTATGGATAATTTTCTACTTTTCCCTTTTACTTTGTCCGAGTTTTTTTCTAGTTTGACTATTCTTTCTATCAACAACTTAAATGTCTGTGTTTGTTCCTTCTCTAAGATAAGCATTAAAATTTCACCCATCGTTGATCCTTCAGTTTTATTATTGTTTATTATCTGCGCATTATCTGTCCGTAACGAGGTGACTTCCATGCAGCCGGGATATGGCTCGTCGGAGCCAAAATTCGGTTGAGGAATGGAAGAGTAGGAAGAGAGAGTAATTGATAGAACGTTCAGTTGCAACCAAAATTATATTTAAATGGTATAACTATATACACTATTTACAACTTCGTCGCCGAGGGGAAAGGAAGGGGGGGGGGGCTATATGCAATAGGGATAGAAGTGCTAGGTAAAGAGCTCGACTCGGACTGCTCTCGCAACTCTACTTATTATTACGTCCTGGGTGTCTCGGAAATTGCGAATTTCTCTTTTTAATTATATGATTCCCCTTGCGTTTCCTTGTTCAATGATCCCTTGAGCACTTCATTTTCATTTTTAAGTGCTTGGATTTCAGTTCTTAATAGTACGGTTGAGGCTTCTAACTCTCCAAATTTACGGCCGAGATCCTCATTTTCTTTTTATAGTCACGGAGCAGTCTTGCCGCTTTTAGATTGGTTGGGTCGTGTGACTTCCGTGAGCTTTCTTTACAACAATAGTTGGTCTCCCCGATAATCCATGGGACCTGCCTCCGAAAAGGGTGAATTTTCCAGCTTTCTGGCTGGCGTACCACCTGGGGTAGTTACTTCGTAGTGTGTTTTGTCCATTGCCTGATATAACTGTTGTTCCACTAGCGCTGACGGCAGGCCGATGTTTTGTGTTAGCTTTGTCTACTTTAACTGAGTTGTTTTCGTTCTCGATTTTAAGCGCAAGAGTTTCGCTTTTGCCCTTCTATCATCTATCATTTGTGACCTAAGTCAAACCCAGGGTTCGCGACAAGGACGCTAGATGATCGGACTTCCTAGTTTACTTGTTGTTGTGCAGCGCAGCATTTCACGATTCTTCTTATGTGTACGCCTTCTAGCAAAATGTACCCCACTACGACCTTACCAGCAATTAGAAACCCACAAGAAAAAATATTGAAAATATTGTACCTATCAGTAATCTTTCTATTTTCAGTTTACAAACTTTCGAGGCATGGACATGAGACGGAATATGGAGGTCGCGTGGGATACAAAGGGCAACTATTCAACGGATCTCTACACCAAGGAAGCAGTACGCTTAATTAATGCTCACAATCCCGATAAACCATTATTTTTATACTTGGCACATCTTGCAGTCCACAGTGGAAATGAGGAGCAGTTACTACAAGCTCCCCCCGAAGAGATTGAAAAATTCTCCTACATCGACGATCCAAACAGAAAAACTTATGCTGGTGCAGTATAATTTTTTAAAAACTAGCCAAGACCTAATTGGAACTCTCGTCGAAAAGAATATTATTCACTGACTTCTTGCATTTTAGAGGAGACTGTGTTGTGCCGCAACATGAAGTTAATAAGATATTTTTTCACTTCCGATTTTTTGATATTAAAAAAGTGGAAATTTTTTGGATTTTTTAAATATTTATCAGGGAAGGTAGAACTATAAAAAATGCTATTAGAATTGTCATTGTTTTTTTAAAAATTATTATAACGTCATACGAACTTCACAGGCATAACTGTGCGCGTAACGCACGGTTTATGTTGGCTTAGTATAAAAAATATTTCATGTACATAAAACACTTGTTTCCTTACTTCTAGCTGAACATCGGCCGTTTTAAAGTTATAAAATTTTTTGCAAAATTTTCACACATTACACATACCGCACATTTTAACTTAATTAGGCGTGAGTATGTAAAAAGTTGTTGCATTACATATAAAGCAGTGTATCAGATTACCGTTGCAAGGTCACGTATAAGAGAGTGAAAACGCGTTGCGCAAACTCGATTGCACCCCACACAGAATGGGATATTTAAATTGAGGCATTTTAATATAACAAAAATAAAGCAAAATAGAAAAAAACAATGTTTCAGATAAAAGTTGTAAGATTATTTTTAAGAACATGACATATTTTGATGACCTTAACTTGATTGTATTATCAATAATTCAAAGTCATTTCGAGGTAAACTTCATTTTTTTAACGCAATTATATAGTTTCTTTTTTAAGCACAAATCGATTTCTCCATTCATTCTACGTATAAAAATACTAGTGTGAGTTGATAAAAAGTGAATATATCTTAAGATATTTATTTTTATCTTGACATCTTTCAATATAAGATATGAAATATCTTATGAAGTATTCATTTTTCGATAATATCACCGTACTACTTTTCTATATAATAATATGAGAAAAATCAATTAATGATATTTATCATTACATATTGATACATTGGTACATTTGTAAAATGTATGAAATTATTTTTATGTTCTCCAATATTTCTATGTTGCTCATAGCGACGATTCCACCTATCATTCTGCATATAAAAGTATTAAAGTAATGTTATCGAAAAGTGAATAATTTATGAGATATTTCATATCTTATACTGAAAAATATTAGAATAAAAATAAAATCTCACAAATATTCGCTTTTCAATGATACCAACGTAGTACTTTCATACGCAGAATGGGCAAATAAATCGATTTGCATTAAGAAATACTATATAATTCCATAAAAAAGTGTAGTTGACATCGAAATGATCTTGAATTAATGAAAATACAACAAAGTCAAGATCACCAAAAAATGTCCTCCAAATCTCACAACTTTTGTGCGAAATATTCCTTTCTGTTTTGTTTTATTTTTGTTATATTAAGGTGTCTCAATTTAAATGTCTCACATTGTGTAAGAAACATTTAATTTAATTTAATTATATATAATAAATATAATGTTCATAACTCCGCTAAATCCAATGATTCTTTCATCGTACAGCTTTTTAAATGCCATAAACTAAATAGTTTATCTTAATTTCCGATGTTATTTACAGCCATGGTTTCTAAATTGGACGACAGCGTCGGTCAGGTCGTGGAAGCCTTGAAAAATCGTGGTATGTTGGATAATAGCATTATCCTCTTCATGTCTGATAACGGTGCGCCCACTCATGGTTTTCTGAATAATTACGGCAGTAACTATCCCTTTCGTGGCGTAAGTATTCGTTGCGAAAGAAGAACTTGGACCATCTAACAATGTAACTTGATTCAAACTGTGATGCGAGAGAAATCGGAATATTTACAGATTAAGAATACCGCTTGGGAAGGCGCCGTGCGAGGAGTAGCTGCAATCTGGAGCCCTCTAATCAAGAAACGCGAGCGGGTCTCGAACCACTTAATGTGTATAGCCGATTGGTTGCCCACTTTGTTGTCCGCCGCCGGTTAGTTATATATCGTTTTTCGATCAGCGTTAAAAAATAAATAGTATCAATAAAATTTTGGTTACAGGCGGAAGCAAGGAAAAAATTGGCAAAATCGATGGCCTCGATATGTGGCCGACGATCGTATCCGACGAGCATAATCCCAGAGAAGAAGTACTGATAAACATCGACAAAACGTACCAAGCCATTCGTAATCGCAAATACAAGTACGTACATGGTCAGACCAAGGAAAGCTCTAAATGGTTAGGAGATAACGGAAGAAGCCCGACTGAGACACGACCACTGTATCCGCCTGAGACAGTGTTGCATAGTAAAGCAGGAGCTGCCATTGCTTCAGTGACTAAAAATACTGCTGAACTTAATTCTCAGAAGATCCTACAATTAAGACAGCAGGCGGAAATCCATTGCAACGTTACGGAAAAGGAGCAGGTAGACAATCTTGAGAAATTAAGGATACGTTTTTTAATTAGAAATTTCGTCCATGCTTCAAAAGTTTACATTGAACAGTGTTCACACTGTTCACAGTGTCCACAAAACGGTACAGGGCTTTTTTATTGAAAACTTTTGAACCTTATGACGTAATATGTATTATCTATGAAAAATACGTACCATATTACATATTTCGCTTGCAAAATATTCTTTAATCTCTCCTTCGGCTTTATAAAATTTCGGCTTTACGATTTCAATCACTTTAAGTTAAAAAATAGCTACAAAGGAACATCAGAAAGACGACATATATTACGTGAAAAACTTAATTCCTGCCGTTTTATCGTCTCCAAAATTGATTTGTTTCAGAGGGAAGATGAATGAATTCCTTAATCAAAGTAATTTCCCCCATTTTCTAATACTTTTCCCCATCTTTCCGACAACAGGCCGATCCCACGACAGTAGAATGCGGTTTCGAGACTATCCATTCATCCATTCATTTTTGGACTCTTTGTAACTGAAGAAGTGTGTGTCCGTATGTGCGTGTTGCATCGACTGGAAGAGGTGGTAATCCGATGGTGCCATTTCTGGAGAATACGCAGGATGGGAAAATTTCCTATTCAAGCTGTAGAAATGTCTGCTTCGCGTTTTTCGCAACATGTGGTCGAGCGTTATCATGCAAAACAATAACTTTGCGTCGATTGTTGATTACGAATGGTCTTTTTTGTATCACCTCGTCACTCAATCGACATAATTGATGTTGATTGCGATCAACTACAACGGTTTTATTTGGACGCAAGAGCTCGTAATACAGCACATCGTCCTGGTCCCAAATGCAGAGCAAGATCTTATTCCTATAAATATACCACTTCGGCGTTGAAGTGGATGGTTGACCGAGGTATATCCATGATTTCCTCCGTTTGGAATTATCAAAATAAATTCATTTTTCATCTCCAGTCACGATACGCCACAAAAAACTCTTCTACTTTATCGTGGCAAACAAAAAGTCGCGATGGACAAACAATTCAAAATGGTATTTTCTGACAATTCAGGTGGTAGCCAAATCCTTTCCTTATGATTTTTTCCTATGACATGCAAGCATTTTAAGACGGCCATTAGAGGAACATTTAACATTTTCGACAATTCTAAAATTGTTTGAGCTGGATCCTCATCGAGCAATTCTTGCATGTCGACATTTTAAAATGTTTTCGGCCATCCGATACGTTCTTTGTCTTTCATGTCAAAATCACCATTTCGAAAGTGTTCAAATCAAACTCTACATGTTCTTTTCGACGGAGTTTCATCACCATACCTTTCGAATAATAAGCAATGTGTTTCTGCTACGATTTTCTTGAAGTCGAAGCAGTGAAGAAGCACATGTCGGAAAAACAGATTATCGCGGTTCATTTTCAATCGATTAGAAAATCTTTTTGGTCGAGAAATCTAACCTGTGCGGACTGAATCGCTTTCGGAAATGTCTAAATTACATAAGACATGCGACTTCACCGTCGAAATATACCACCATTGTAATCGGAATCCTCTAGTAGCGAGCGGCAGAAATTAGGTTTACCACCTAATACTAACAGCTATTTTTTAACAAGTCCGCGAATAATTATTCAAACTGTTACAATTATCAGCGTCCATATAATCATGATATTTTAGCATTCATTATGATTTTTGATTTTATTCGATACTTATTATTACAGATAATATGTAACATTAGGGATAAAATCATATTTTCTAGGATAAATATGGGGCAACATTATTTAAATTATTAAGTAGAACAAGTGCGATTATCACAAATTGGAACACTGTTATTAATCAAGATTTTCATCTTATATTTTAATCGAGATATAAGAGTCACTCATGCTACTTGCAGGTTGCGTGTCATGCGTCGCTTATGCCATGTCTTTTTGACTTGGAAAGGGATCCTTGCGAGAAGATGAACATTATTGCAAAAAAAACCTACGTTGCGCAGAAATTGGAGGCAGTTTTGAAACAATATAAATCAACTATGTTACAGCCGAACAACAAGAACGATGATTTGAAAGCAAATCCTATACGGTGGAACCACACATGGGTGTGCTGGCAGGATCCGAATCCAAATGCGACTATATGCACGAACAAAATTGATTCATATGTAGGCAAATCTATCACGATCGCGTTCTGTACTTTCGGGGTTTCCCTCATTCTAGTGTTCTTTTTCTACGAGTTGTACAAATCTAAGAAATGTGTTTCGCACGTTCTCGAGCAGCCCCGCAAACGATCCTTGAAAAATAAGAGCAACGATGTACGGAAAGAGGAAGGTTCGATGCTGAATTATATATATAGAACGATTTAATTCGGTTGGTACGATCGAAGATAGCAACCTGAGTAGACCTTTTACATTATTATATCGGAGCTATAGCGATCGTTATCATGCTGTATAGTTCGCGGGTAGAAAAGTACCAATTTGCTATTCTTTTTACATTTTCTATCTTTTTATTTTATTATTCTTATTCTACTTTATCTTTTATTTCTCTTCTTTTTTTCTTACCTATTTACATATTATAAAAAAGCGCCTATTCATTTAAAGGTCGAGGTATTAATGATGTAGATTTCGGGTTCTCAGTTTGTCTTACATATATTTAGATCGCAAAGTGTAATTTTGACGATATAAATATTTACATCATCGTAAAAATCACGAGTCGCTCCCGAGAATGTATTTAGGAATGCGCATTTCCTTATCGTAAGTTTGCAATTCCATAGAAAGCTATTTGATCGAGTTGCGACCTCAAGCGTTTTGTAATGGTTGGCACGCCTTGTATCAGACACTCTGTACAGAACCCTAAGCGAGAGCCTCGATTTCCACCTGGACGAGGACGGCCGATATATAAAACCTTCTTGTTTATACGTCTTGTCTGTTACTAAATAAACATTAGCACGTTTGATACACGTGTAGCTCGTTTGTTACGTGCGCGAAAATAGTCGGGCAAACATATCGATGAACTTTCCTAGATTTCGTCTAATTATCCATTAAAAAATCTTTCATAATTGATCATATATAGTTATATATAATCATACAAAATTATGCATGATATTTGTCTATACATAATTTATATAAAATTAACTGATTACTATTGTGCTTTAAAAAACTTTTGGCCATATATGATTATATATGGACAATCTTTCAACGGGTAGCATTTCACAGAAATCTTTGCATTAATCTATCTTGTATTTCGGATTCGTTCAAAAAAATCTTAATTAACTCGGGAATAGTTACCTGATGTCACTTCATATCCCAACGGTCAGAAAATAAAACTGACGTCGCAGTGGATCTTTTTTACTGATTAGAAACCCATATCTACCTTTCGTTTAGAGACCTAACCTGTCGTGTAAATAAGTACGGTGCGTATTAATAATTATAATCGTATTATTTAAATATTTTGATTATTATTATTTTAATACATGATACATAGATAATTATAATTTAATACATAGGTAATAATAATTAAAATCTACGTATTAGCTTTATAGAAATTATTTAGTATATATTATAGATTACAATAAAAGAAATATTTTGAAATAACACCGGACGAAATAAGAAAAAATAAATAAATAAACAAAATAATATAATAATAATATAACATATATTACAATTTTAAGAAATCTCTCAAATTATTAAAACTTATCAACATCATAACAATTAACATTATAAAAAAAGCATCAAATATTTTAATCTGCATTAATAAGAAATTTACGTAAAATTAATATGCAGCTGTTTGTTACAGCAATTCTATGATCAATATTACATGTTTTAACTCTCATGGTAAATTTAATTATTCCGCATGTTCTGTATAGATTGTATCGAATTAATTATGATATTTCTATAAAATATATTCATCATATATTATTCATATAATCTATATGTTGCTAATCGATATGATATTGATATTTGATCACATATTATGATGACATATTATGATCATATAAACTTTGGATACTCCTAAACAATGTGTCCCAACATGCCGTAATGTTCATGTGGCAAATATATCAAAAGTATTTACAATAAGGTTGCAAGGTTATTATTATAATTTGGATAGAGTTTTGATATTTTGGTAGGAGCTCGGCTTAAAAGACGTAGAGGCCTCGCCCGAAGACACGTCATCTTGACAAGTCGGTCGACAAAAACTGTCCACATATGTGCAAATCACTCTTGTGTCCATCGCGTTTGTCTCGATACCACCGGCAATGTAACGTATTCCGCGTGCTATCAATTCCTGTACATGACTCTGAGACGGTGCCGCGCTAGATGCACCGGTATTCTCCAAAGTATGACTTTTGTCAATATACAACAGAAACGGGATCTTTGCTCTCCCGTGTGAGTTGATGCTTTCCATAATGGTGATCATTGTTTCCGGTCTTCGGCATTCGGCACCGATCGTGAAAAGTTGACAGGGCAATAAATAACGTATTCTCCTAACTACATCTCTAAAATCATGGCCGTCCATTAGTCTTCCATCATCCGAACATAAAAGTGAGATCAAAACGCGAGCTGTCTTATACGATTTTAACAAAGTGAATATAGCCCTGAGCTCATTCATAGTAGGAATAGACTCGAATGTCAACAAGTCGACACCAGCCCGCAATAACTTCATCACACGAGTTTTATGAAACTGTATTATTTCGGTTTGCGACAACCTATGCAAGACCTCCACTGGTATATTCCATTTATCACGCATATTATGGACAAGCGAAAATAGGCAACTGCCGCAGGAACCTGCTACTAAAGGTCGATTACGTTTGTATTCTTCGGAATTGAGGTCGTATCCCATCTCGATGGCATACATTTTCACGGCCGTGTTGGCTGCAATTACGGCCAGATATATCAGTGACATATATTCAATCGAATCGAGTTGCAAAAGTTGCATAACGTCCGGGATTATTCGATATGTATTAGTCCTTATTATCCGAGCGCCAGCACGCAAGTAAGCCATGTGAGTATTGTGCAAGGCTTTCGAATTAATGGTGAAAGCACGTAATGCGAACAATGTTCCATATTGGTCGGCATCCGGAAAATGGCGACGTAGCTCAGTCTCGAAGTCGCCGTCCAACACTGTTGGCTTGTCCATTTAGCGCGTAGTATCGACGACAGGCAGTCGCTAAAAGTTCACTTCTTGATGTTCGTATCACGCGATGCCCGAATTCGATACGTAGGTGCGAAGATATCGTTGCTGTTATTCTCAGTGATTATACGTGATCTCGGACGATTCTCGCAACAAACTAATTACAAAGCGGGCTTGTCGATGATATATATTCGTTCTAACTTTGAGTGTAATTCTGCTTGTCTCAGTCACATCATAGACAATACTGTGCCGTGATTTGCTACTGTTCGAAAATGCGGATATTTATAAGGACGTTCTGCACTGCGCGATTTGTTATTAAATAAACACAAACATATGTAAGAAAATTGAAAACTTTGAGCATACATGTGGATGAAGTTTCTTGGATATTTACATTTCACATAAACCTGTTGTATTCTTTTATCTTGTATTTTCGATCCATTTTCAATCCGACGTGCAAAATTTTGATTAACCGTCAGATTAACAGATGGTTTTATCTATAAACTGAACGAACAATTTATGCGTAATTTCCCAAGTAGCAAAGTGACGTCATAAATGACGTCTTAATAATATCTTAATAACGCCTCTAACGTCATTAAAACGTCAATTGACGTCACGTTGCTACTTGGATTGTGTAGTGGTTTATTGAAGCAATTTTACAATGAATATTACACGGTTTAATTAAACTAAATGTTCCACATATTCTACTTGACATTGCACATATGTGTTTTATTTCATTATATAAATCGTTCCTTTTTCTTGACAATGTGATCTAATATTTATGCAACAAATATATTAAAGGAATAATGAGATTATAAAGTTCCGGTTAACAAATTTTTTATGTATAATTATGTGTAGAATATGTCCATATATAAAAACGTATAATTATATATGACTATATATAATCACACATACATACATATATAATTATATATGTAATTATATATTTTTATATATTTTTATTTACATACATACATGTATAATTATATATGTAATTATGTATTTTTATTTATGGACAAATTCGATATATGACACCTCTCTCTCTCTTTCTCTCTCTCTCTCTCTCTTACATAATTATATAAAAACATTTTTATTGAGTTATAATTATAGCTTGAACAGATGTTTCTTATTTCGGTAAGAACATGGCTTGCCGGTAAGGAAAAGCTCGCCCGTGGACTCACAGAAATACTCTACTTTTTTGCAAATGTGTTGTATATCCTCCGCAACTGTGTCAGTACCACCCCCGATGTAACGTACTCCAGCGTCCCACCATTCCTGCACGAAATTGTGCTGCTGCGCCGCGCTAGATACAGAAGCGTTTCTCGTAGTAGGCAAAAAATTTTTGTCAGCACATAACATAAACGGTATCTTAGATTTTCTGCTGTTGTTGAGGTTTCGCATCAACTGTGTCATTGCTGTCGGCGAATCGCATTCAGCACCGATCGCGATAATTTGTTCAGGCAGGGAATTGTAACAGTGTACAGCTGTTTGTGCAAAGTCTGATCCATCCACTAGGTTTGTATTCTGAGGACAGTAGAATGTGATCCAAGCACAGATTTTTGGATGGTCCTTTAGCGCATCAATTATCGCATTAACTTCATTCTTAGAAGGTATAGATTCGAATGCCAACAGATCGACGTCAGCCTCCAATAACTCTCGTATATGTTGCTTGTGAAACAACTTTAAATATGATACCGACTTTTGAATCGCGATATCCGTTGATTTGACTTTGCATTTATCAGATGTATCGTCGAGAAGCGAAACCATGTAACTGCCGCAAGATCCGGCTATTAAAGGTCGGTGCGTTTCAAATTGTTCGGAACTTGTATCCTCTCCTGTCTTTTCGCCATACCACATTACGGCCTGTTTGGCCAATTTCACGGCTCGCTGTATCATTTCCGCACATTCAATCGGAGGTAAATTCAAATGTCTTGCAACAGCACCTATGGAGACTTGATATGTATTAGTTCTTATTATCTGGGCGCCAGCTCGCAAAAAAGCTAAGTGAGTTTTGAATACGGCCCACCGATCCTTCTTGAGTGCGTGTAGAGTGAAAGCGTTCCCAAAATTTTCGGCCTCCGGAAAATGACGACGAAGTTCAGCTTTAAAATCGCCGTCCAGTACCATGAACTTGTCCATGTTACGTGTAAAATTGATGACAGGTTGTTGCTTTATTTTTTATGCACAACACGACGATTCCGAACTCGTTATGTAGTTCCAGTGCGAAAACGTCGCTTCTGTTACACTCAATGATTACGAATGTTCTCGTTGACCAAATGTAACTATAGTAGATCTGTCGATCTATATATCCTTCGCGTTAACTTCGGTTATAACGAATTTGCTTACTTCAATTGCGTTATAGGTGATATTGTGCTTCGATTTGCGTTCACCCAAGGACGGGTTATAGGATGTTGTTGTTGCGATTTGTTATTAAATAAGTACGAACGCACATTCGACATACATTTCGGTTATTTGTTATAGCAACCTTTGAGTGAACATATTGATAAACATTCCGAGATACCGTCCAACTTGTATTTCACAGAAATCTTATTCTATTAAATTGTTCGGAAAGTTCGTTTCAAATCTTCAGGACGCAATATTTTACTCAAAGACTTTATCGAAGCAAATATGTTTCACTTTGTTCAATTATCTTGGCCAATTTCTTAGGTAACTGCAGGACGCCCTTACTCCAAAACGAACGAATTTCTTATTAGCGAAGAATTGATCAAGATGAATTTTGAGGTTTTCCAAAACCCGAATTTTTGAATGAATAGGAAATAAAATAAATAGAATCTGTGTGCTGGATTTGCAAAAATTATACGGTGCATATTATTGAACTACAGTAAATAACTGCAATCAAGAAAAACTATAATAAAGAAAAAATAAAAGAGTAAATACGTACAGAAAAATAAAAATAAAATAACAAATGTTTTTTTTCTAGGAATGTATGCGTGTCTTGAAATATATATATATATATATGTGTGTGTATGTGTGTATAAAATTGTCGACAACATTACAATAAACATCGTAGAAGATTCATCGAATAAATATTATCCATATTATAAATTAAATAAAAAATTTACACGTAATTAGCATGCAGTTATCTTTTACAGAAATTATATGTTCAGTATTACACCTTTTAACTGTCACAATTAACTTAAATATTTGAAATGTCTTTTTCCGGTTCCAACCTACGCATTTTATTAGACGACATATTTATGTATAATTTAAAACATCAGTACTCCCAAACAACGCGTCTTAATACCTGTACGAAAAATACATCGAACGCATAATGAAATTACAAAGTTATTATTATAATCACAGCTTGGATAGATTTTCCTGATCTCGATATGAACATGATCCTGAAAAGGCACAAGGAAAAAGATAACAAAAATTGTAAATGTTTTTCGTTTATTAATTTCGTCGCATATTTCATAGCAAGGAAATTGTAACTTTCTTCCGGAGATGACCTGTTGGCACATTTCTGAGTGTTGATAAATTAGAGTTGTGAGGTAGCATCAGTTTCATACATACCATGTAAAGTATAAATCATATTTGGACGATTGATTTTTTACCAAACATTCTTCTTTAATTATTAATATGAAAGCGTGAGGATTTAGAAGGTGTTGTTTAATTACGTATATTAATGTATATATATTTAAATATATTGTTATTATCATTTCAATTTCATCAGGATATGGGAGTTATAAATTGTGTATTCATATGCGAAAAACAGTATTTATTGATAATTAAAATAATTAAAAGAAACAAATGAACACATTCTCTATAGAAAAACAAAAATATTTACAAAATGATATAAAAATCGAATAACATGTAAATATTGTAATAAATGTAAGAATAAAATAATTATTGTCATCATTACAATTAATTACAATGCAGATGCTTCTTCGAGTGAGTATTATTCGTAATATGAAATGTATGAATAATTTACATACAATTAGCGTCTCCCAGCACAATTCCTAGTTGTCAGAATTGTAGCAATTTCACGAGTAATATATATATATATATATTTATTGTCACAATATATATATTTATTGTCACAGTAATATATATTTTTATTGTCACAATACGCTTATGTTGTACGCGATTTGAATTACATTGCATTAATTATGATGAATTTTATATTCTAATTACTAAACTAATTAGACGACATTTTTACATACTAGATGATCACAGTTTTTCTCCTAGATAATAGTTCCTCTAGAAAACGTTTGTTAATATCCATGAGAGAATATTTGAATCGAAAAATGATTATGTTATAATTACATCTTCGACAGATTTTCTTTATTTTGGTACAACAATGACATGAGAGAAGTGAAGAACCTGTCATTTGCTACGTTGAAACCCTCCACTTTTTTGCAAACCTTCTTTATATCCTTCGCAACCGTGTCGGTACCACCACCGATGAAACGTATTCCGGCGTCCCACCACTGCTGCACGTAATTGTGCGACAGAGCCGTGTTAGATTTACCACTGCCTACCTTGGTGTGTAAATAACGTTGGTGAGCACACAACAGAAATACAATCTTAGAATATCTACGGTCGTTGAGGCTTCGCATCACGGATACAATTGTCTCTGGCGATGCGCATTCCGCACCGACCGCGATAATTTGATTCGGCAGGGAATCGTGACAGTATGTAGCTACTTTTTCAAACTCATTCCCATCCATCAGTTTGGTGTCCGCCAGGCAATAGAGCGTAATCCAAGCGCGAGCATTCGGATACTTTTTTAAGACTCTAGTTATTGTAGTAACTTCGAACAAACTGGGTATAGACTCGAATGCCAACAGATCGACGCCAGCCTCCAACAACGCTTGCACGCGCAATTCGTGAAACGAAAACAGATAATACGACGACAACTGACCCGTGACATCCGTAGATACGTTGCTCTTATCAGATATATCATCTAGAGTCGAAACCATGTAACTGCCGCAAGATCCAGCCACTAAAGGTCTGCCCAATTGATATTCTTCGGAACTTGGGTCCCGGCCCATCTCCTCATCATATGTCGTCACGGCCTGTTTGGCCATCCTCACGGCATCGTGTATCTTTAACAAAGACTCACTCGGATCGAGATCCAAATGTTTCTTAAGGGCTCCTATGGACGCTTGATACGTATTAGTTCTTATTATTTGGGCGCCAGCGCGCAAATAAGCCAAGTGAGTTTTGTACACGGCGAACAGATCGGCCTGGAGGGCATGTAAAGTGAAAGCTTTACCAAATTTTTGGGCTTGCTGGAAATGGTGTCGCAATTCAGCTCCGAAGTCACCGTCCAATATCATCGGCCTGTCCATTCCGCATGTAGAATCGATGACAGATTGATACTGGAAGGTCTTCTTCTTGATATCTGTGTGACACGATGCTCGATTCACGCGGTTCCACTGCGAGAATTTCGCTCCCGTTATACTAAGCGATTGCAAATTATCCTTCTCAAACGTTCTCGTTAACGTACAAAATGTAACGTACGAAGCTGACTGTCGACGTGTATCTTTAACGTTAATTTCGGTTGTGGCGAATTTGCACGCTTCAATCGCGTCACAGGCGATACTGTGCTTCGATTTGCGACTGCGCGAGAACGGCGTTTATATATAGGACGTTCTTGTATGTTTGATCTGTTACTATTATAAATAAACATGAGCACACGTTCAATAGACGTTTCGATTATTCGATAATACGGGAGCGTTCGAATGAAAATATCCATGATCTTTCCCGGATTTCGTCTAATTAGCATTTCACAGAAACGTTATATTAATCTATTTCATATTTCGGATTCATTAAGTGCGTTCAAAGAAATCTTTAAATGTTAAATATATAGTACGAAAATATCGTTAAATTCAGTAATTACGAATTGTTTTTCTCCGACGTTCTCGAATTGACAGACAAAATGTGCTATGAAGCTGGCCTGTCGATATATATACTCGTTCTAACTTCGATTGAGATAATTTACTTCAGTCGCAATACTGTGTCGCGATTTATAGGACGTCCTTATTTGTGCGATCTGTTATTAAATAAACACGATCACGTGCAAGAAACAAGATAACTTATTTTGACAAACATCCTTCGTTAATTGTTTATATGAAAGTGTGCGAATGAATACGGTATTGCGTTTATGTTAATTATGTTAATATTACATCAATATTTTGATTATTATTGTTTTAATATGACTAGGTAATAATAAATAGAAACTACGTGTTAGCTTTGCAGAAATTTAGTGTATATTTTTGATTACAATAAAAGAAGAATTCACATTGAACAAAATAAAAACAACCAAGTCAACAAAGTAACATAATAATAATATAATATATATAACAATTTTAAGAAATCTCTAGAATTATTGAAACTTTTTGACATTATAACAATTAACATTGTAGAAATTTCATCAAATATTTTAATCTGATTAAACAACATATAATTTGCATGTAATTAGTGTGCAGTTGGTGCAATTCCATGATCAGTATCACGTTTTAATTGTCACGACAAACTTAAATGTTCCACATAGTCTAAATAATATTAAAATAATTATGATGTTTCTATATACGATATATCTAATGTACGCAGCTAATATGATTTATGTTTGATCGTATAAATTTTAATATCTCCTTCCTAATTTTAAACTCCTAAATAATGTGCCATAATGTCCATGTGACAGAAATATAGTGAGATTATAAAATTATTATTATAGTCTATATCATAGTTTGGATAGATTTTCGTTATTTCGGTTGGAGCATGGATTACTAGAAACGGAGGGCCCGCCCGAGAGCGCTCCTTCACGAATTTGTATAAGTCTTTTAATCCGTTTTATGTCCTCCGCGTCTGTGCCGATACCACCGCCAATATAACATATTCCGCATTGTAACCACTCCCATACATAATTACAAACCCGACGGTTATCAGATGCACTAGTCCTCTGCACAGGATATATTTCATTTTTGCCACCATATAACAAAAGCGGAATAGTTTGATTCAAATTCATTTCCAAAAATGGATTTACTACCGGTTCGACGCATTCGATACCGAACGCGATAATTCGCTCGGGCAGCGTACGCTGACACATCCGAATTATATCTGCAAGATCATAGCCGTCCACTTTTCCATCCACCGAACATAAAAACGAGAGACAAGCGCGGGCTTGTGAATATTGCGTTAACAACTTCAATATAGCCTGAATCTCATTTATAGTAGGTATAGACTCAAATGCCAATAGGTCGACATTAGCGTCCAATAATGTTTTCATACGGGGTTCGTGAAAATTTATCATTTCCATTACCGATAAATCACGCACGACATCCAATGTTACGTACCATTTGTTACCCATATTCTCAAGAAACGAAATCAAGTAACTGCCGCAGGAGCCTGCTATTAAAGGTTTTAGGCTCTTCTGGTAATATGTACTGTTTATATCGTATCCATTTTCCTCAGCGTACTTTACCACGGCCTGTTTAGCCAATTTAACGGAGTCGTCTATCAGTGGTAAATAACCACCCGGTTCGACATCTAAATGTGTTAAAACATCACTTAGGGACGCGCGATATGTGTTTGTTCTTATTATTTGAGCGCCAGCGCGCAAATAAGCCAAATGAGTTTGGTATATGGCACTCTGATTATTCTTGAGGGCATGTAATGTGATATCTTTTATATATTTTCCGCCCTGTTCGGCATGACGACGTAGCTCAGTTTCGAAATCCCCGTCTATCAATATTTTGTCGTTCCTTATCATCTTGCATACAATATCGACGGCAGGCGATTGCTAATGGGTGTTGTAATTCCCTGCCCTTCACTTCTTGATGTCTTGATGACACAATGTCCGAATTCGATACGTGGTCCAGTGCGGGAATGTCGCTTCTGTTACTCTCAGTAATTACGAATTATCTTTCTCAGAATTTGTTAACGTTCTTAAATTTACAGAGAATATATACCACGAAGTGAGCTTGTTGATGTACACATTCGTTCTAACTTCGGTTGAAGTAATTCTGCTTGCTTAAGTCGCGTTATAAATGATACTCTGTCGCTTGATTGGCCCGAGGATAACTGGTACTTATAAGACGTTTTTGTTTGCGCGATCTGTTATTAAATAAACACAAGTATTTACACGAAACATTGAAGGCTTTGATCGCACATATCGATAAACTTTCCTAGTTCTCGTCCAACTTATGTTTCACACATTTATATTATTCGATCTTGTATTTTCAATGACAGGCAAAATTTTGGTTAAGCATGTTATTAACCGACGTTGTCTGTTTTGTCATTAGAAAATAATATACCGGTCAACCGTTGTACAACGTACGTAATCACCGCTTTCGCCTTCTTAGACAGTCATAATGGAAAAGCATAAGGAACGAGATGATAAAAATGTTTTAATGTCACTGCTTATTAGCTATGCCGCGTTTTTCATAGCATAAAAATTGTTATTTCTTAAAATAAATCAAAATATAATCTCACAAAAACTACAAAATTTTATGAAGCGTACGAATAAATACATATACAATTGGGTTTAATTGCGTTTTAATTAATTATGTTAGTATTATTTAAATACTTTGGTTATTAATATTTTAATATGAATGAAGGTAGTAATTAATAAAAACCGTATGTTAGTTTAACAGAAATTTTATAATATATATTACTGTTTACAATAAAGGAAAAATTCCGAAACAGATATAACAAAATAAATAAATCAAGAAAATAATAAGTAAACAATAAACAAATAAATATATAATAATAATGTAACACGTAAAGATTTTAAATAATTTCTACGAATTATCAAAAATTGCCGCCATCATTACAATTAATAACGTATAAATTTAACATAGTTCTTTAAAATAAATAAACCATTTATACGTAATTAACGCACAGTTATTTCTTGCATCAATTCTATGATCAGTATTACATGTTTTAACTGTCACGGTAAATTTAAATGTATCTACATATCTAGACTATATTGAAATAATTATGATGTTTTTATATGACACATCTAATCTACGCAGCTAATACGATTTATTTATGTTTGATCATATAAACTTTAGTATCCCTAAATAACGTCCTTCAATTTCCATGTGACAAATATATCAAAAAGATATATAATAAGATTATAAGGTTATTACTATAATCATAATTTAGACAGATTTTCATTATTTTGGTAGGAGCATGATGCAAAATAAGTGGAAGCCTGACCCGAAAACACATTAGGATTCTTCACCTGTTGGCAAATCTGTATTACGTCCTCCGCATTTGCGTTAATACTACCGCCAATATAACGTATTCCGTGTTGTAACCATTCCTACACGTAATAACGTCTCTGCGGCTTTCAAAATTCAACAGTATTTCCCTCATTAAATAAATGAGATTTGTCAGCATATAACATAAACGGAATCTGAGGATTCCTAGAGAGTTTGATGAATCGCATAAGCGGAGATATTATTTCCGACGCAATGCATTCGGCACCGATCGCAATGATTTGGTTGGGCAAGGTATTGTAACATCTCTCAGCTACATGTACAAATTTATAGCCGTCCTGTTTCAGTTTTTTATCCAACGAACATAAAAGCGAGATCATAGCGCGAGTTTGTGGATATTTCTTTAACAAATTCAGTATAACCTGAACCTCCTTCCAATTAAGTATAGACTCGAATGTCAACAGGTCGACACTAGACTCCAATAATTCTTTCACACGGGGTTCGTGAAACTCCATCAGTTCGGTTTCCGATATCTGTCGCTTGTCCTGTATACATGTATACCATTTAAAAGATATACTATCGAGAAACGAGAGCAGGTAACTGCCGCAGGAACCTGAACTAAAGGTTGGCGAAATTTGTATTCTTCACAATTTAGGTCGTATCTCATCTCTTCGCTATACTTTACCGCAGCTCCTTTAGCCAACATCACTGCTTTGTTTATCAAATGTAAATACTCAAACGGTAGAAGATTAAATGATACCAATGTGACGTCACACTTAGATATTTAACGTGTTTAGTCCGTATTATCTGGACGCCCACACACAAATAAGTCAAGTGATTTTTATACACGAAGGACGGATCATTCCTGAGTGCATGTAATGTGAAAACTTTTGTACATTGTTCAAATGGTTGTTGGTAATGTCGAAACAGTTCACCTTCAAAGTCACCGTCCAAAATTATTGGCTTGCCAATCTCGTATACAGTATCGATAGCAGACGGTTGCTAAGAATTCGTTTCTTGATGTTTATATGACACAATGTCCGAATTTGGTGTGTCGTGCCAATATGGAAAAGTCATTTCTGTTGTATTCAGCAATTACGAATTATTTCTCTCAAACTGTTCTTGTTTATGATCAAAATATAATAAAGCGAGTCTGTATATCCTTTGCGCTGACTTCGGGGAATTTACTTACTTTAGTCACATTACAGGCGATATTACACTTCTTGCGTGCAAGGACAGTAGATATTTACAGGACGTTCTTGTTTGTGCTATCTATTATTAAGTAAACACGAAAACGTCTGACAGACGTTTTAGTTATTCGTTACGGGAACTTTTGAGTGAATAAATTGATGAATGTTCCTTATTGGAATCGAGATCTAACTGGTATTTTATACTTACCTTGTTATTATTCTATTGTGTATTTTAAATTCGTGATGCACAAGGAAATCTTAATTAAATATTTCCAAGTTGAAACAGAGCATCAGTGGAGTTATATTTATGTTATAATTTCACATCATATGTTATATTACATTTACATGATTGAATGCGAAATTATAATACAATGTTATGTAAATGATGTTCGGTGTTGACTACATTCTTAACCGATGTTGGCTGTTTCGTAATTAGAAAGTAATACACAATACTCTACATTCTATCAGTATAATAAAATAAACGTACAAATACAGATATTGTGTTTAATTATTGACGACGATGCTACATTTTGAAACATTATTATTATTTTATTTTTTAATTTCGTTATTTTTATAATAAAATCTGGATATGGAAATTATAAATTGTACATTAAGTTCGCAAAAATCAAACAGTATTGACAGTTTTATTTGCAATTAAAAGAAAAATAACTAAATAATTCTGAATAATTATAGAATAGAAGAATATTTGCAGTATAATATGATAACAAAAGCAACATATAAAGATTCTAATGAAAGAATTAAAGAATTAAGAATTTTAATTAAAGAATTGTCAATTGTAATCAACATAATTAACAATGTTGAATCTTCGTCGAATGAGAAATATGCGTATTATAAACTGAATGAACAATTTAAGTGCGAATAGCATACAATTGCCTATTATAACAATTTCTTTATCAGGCTTACGCAATGCTTTTAATTGTCACAATACGTTTACAACATGTTGCATGTGGTCTGAATTGCATTATACTAATTATAATGCATTCATACGACATGCCTACATAGAAAAAATGTGCTAGATTCAAGTATTTACTTTTACTAAATATTATTTAATTACTCCTCGGCAAATTTTACTTAGGTTAAATCAATTTTATGTGAATCAAGTAAATATTTTATTTATCGAATGATTTACTCTTCGAGATACTCCTTGAAAAATATTTTACTTAACCCATTAGCTGCCACGATCCCCATTTGGGGATTTTGGAATTTTGCATATATGCAATATATATAACTTATGCATATATATAACTTATCCGGCCAAAAATTTGGCAGTTAATGGGTTAATATAAATAAAAATTTGCCAAGGAGTATTGGAGTAATAATTTACTTAAATTTAACACTTATTTTTCTGTACTTCGGACGCAGCTAATTTGACGTATACGCTCTTGTATTTGATTATACTAACAAATATATTATGCTCTAAAACAGAAATTATAAAATTCTCATTAAAGCTTTGATTGATTGTCCTTAGCTTGGTAAGAGCATACGCGCGCCTTTAGTGAAGTGAAAACCATATTCGTGGAAGCGCGGTAACGATTCATTTGGTTACGAAGTTCCATTATGTCATTCGCGAATGTGTGAGTACCACCGCCGATGTAACGTACCCCTTTGCTTGTCCAGTCCTCCACAAAATTGTACTGCAACGTGATGGGTATCTCGTTTATGGTAGGCATATGACATTCCTCGGCATATAACACGAACGGAATCTTGATATCTTTGATGTTGACTTCTTGTATCAAGCGAATCATCGTGCCTCGCGAAACACCTTCGGCGCCGATCGCGATAACTTGGCTGGACATAGACTCATAAAATTTCGTAGCTATTTTTGCAAACTTATTTCCGTCCACTAGCTTTCCACTCTCTGAGCATAAGAAGTTGATCCAGACACGAGCGTCAGGAAATCTCGCCAGTACTCTAGTTATCGCATTTGCCTCGATCTTCGAAGGTATAGACTCAAATGTCAACAAATCGACACCGGCCTCCAATAACTTCTGTACACGCTGTTTGTGAAAGTCAATTAGCGTCATGATCAGCGTCTCTTCGTCTTTTGAAGGATCCAAATTCCATGAAACGTGACAACTGCCGCAGGAGCCAGCTATTAAAGGTCGGTGTTCGTGGTATCGATCGTAATCCTCGTACGTATATTTGTTCGCCGTCTCTTCGTAATATGTTATTACAGCCTGTTTGGCTAACTTCACGGCAACATTGATCAATGGCACATATATAATCGGTGGGAGGTCGAGGCGTGATTTAATAAAATTTGTTCGCACACGGTATGTGTTAGTTCTTATTATCTGGGCGCCGGCGCGCAGGTATGCCAAGTGGGTTTTGTACACGGCGAACCGTTTAAACTCGAGGGCTTTTATTGCGAAATCTTCCGGTAATTCTTCGATCGTATTCAAATGTTTGCGTAGTTCATCCTCAAAGCTGCCGTCGAATATCATTAGTTTGTCCATCTCGAGTGCCGTGTCGGTTGCAGGCTGTTACTAAAAGGTTGCCTATTGACGTCTGTAAGTTACGACGTTTGTCTTCACTACGTGATCTTAATATAACAATCTCGTTTCCATTACACTCAGCGATTAAGTATTGTCTCTCGCACGTTCTCATTGGCGGACAAGATGCAAAGCGGGACCGTCAATGTGTATTCTTCTACCATGGACTGAAGCGAATTTAATCGCTTCAGTCGCGTTGTAGACTATGGCTCGATCTGTCATTGCGCAATGCGGGTAAATACTCATAGAACGTTTATATTTGTGCGGTCTGTTATTAATCTTCTGCCAGTAAGTGAAATTCTGAACACTAACGGTAAGATTGAGTGGAATCCCACTCACAGGACTTATTATCGTTTTTACAGCAAAGTTGTATCACTTTCAATATGATTGCGTAATAAACAATTGAGTGCAGCCTTTTAAAACATTTTTTACTAATCATAGAATACAAAAATTCGTTAACTTCAGTGACAAACAAAAAATGTTTTTAGAAAGTGCACAAAAAGAAATTAATGTTAAATCGAGAATAGATATTCTCATTAACAAGAATATTATAATCTTCTTAGAAGATATTTAATCTTGATTCGGTAAAGTACAAATGTATTATCTTTTGCTTGCACAAAACGCTGAGATCGTCGGTAGAAATTCTCATCTTTATGAGAACGCACATCTTAATTCGCACGCTTGATCTTTGCCGATCATGGAAATCTTCCAGACATTCGTCTTCAACAAACTATTTCTTTCTAGCGCGTATATTTCTGAGTGTAAAACTACTGTCATTTGTTTGCATAAGCTACTGGAAATCTCGACAGGAATTTTAATTTGTGTGAATTTTCGCCCGTGTCCAATTTTTTCCATTTTTCCTATTCATTTACCTTAATATTAATACATTTTGCACAATTTTGTTCGTTTTTTGTGTATCTTTATTTTTTCTTGAGATTAAACTTGTAAATGAATTGTTTTAATTTTCGCTCGAAGATCATTCCAAACTTCAACTATGTTAATGGAGTACAAAAAATATTCAGATAATTAATTTTATCAAATTCGCTTCTTTAATAATCTCAGTGAAATCATATGAACATACAAACAGAATTCTGTTCGGTTACTTATGTGAATGTGTGATGACGGTATATATTTATATATTTTTTTATCATTATATTAAATAATAATAGGATATGGAAGTTATAAGAACTATGTGTTAAGTTTGAAAAAATTATAGAACGTTTATTCATAATTTTAAAACGAATAAATTATTACTAAGGAAAAAACGAATTATTCTTTACAAATTAGACAGAATTACAGAAACATTTTCAATTTTCAAACAATATGATAACAAAGAAATATATAAAAATCTTAATAAACCTATGAATTATCAATAATTATAGATATCGTTACAATTAACAATGCAGGCGTGTCATCGACCGAGTATTGTTCATATTATAAATCGAATGAACAATTTACGTGCAACTTTTATCTTACGTGTTATCTTACTTTAATGTGTTATCTTACTTTAGTGTTGATTATAATTGCACGTGATCATATCAGACTTATCATATCAGACTTAAGTATCCTAATGCCGGTTGTAACAATTTCCATAATCAGACTTAAATATTTTAGTTCTCACACTAAATTTAGATATTACGTAAAAACTGGATTGTATTTGCACTATTTATGAGATATTCGTGCATATACGTCCATTGGACACAGTTAATTTGCCATTTACACTCTTGCGTTTGATCATTCTAACATTTAATTCCAATAGACAACACGCCTGTTAACACCTATGCAACAAATATATTTCTTGCTTTAAAACAGAAATCATAAGATTGTTATTATCATTAAAGCTTTGATTGGTTGTCCTTGTCTCGGTGGGAGCATACGCGCACCTTTAGTGGAGTGAAGACCATGCCCGTAGAGGCGCAGTATTTATCCACTTCTTTGCGAATTTTCTTTATGTTATCCGCGACTATGTCAGTACTGCCGCCGAAATAACGCACCCCTTCGTTTATCCATTCCTCCGCAAAATTACGCGCCACGCTGGATGATGCCCCGATGCCATCTGTGATAGGAAAATGACGTTTCTCAACGTACAACACGAACGGAATCTTAATATCTCTGATACCGTTGACATCTTGCATCATTAGTTTCATCGAGTCGAACGTAACGCCTTCGACACCAATCGCGACGATTTGATTGGGCAGGGAATCGTAAAAGTCTGTAGCTACTGTCGCAAAGTTGCTACCGTCTATTAGTTTCCCCTCCTGCGAGCATAAGAATGTGATCCAGGCGCGAGCGTCTGGACAATTCATTAGCAGTCTACGTATCGCCTTCGCCTCGTTGTGACAAGGTATGGACTCGAATGTCAACAGATCGACACCGGCTTCCATTAACTTCTTTACACGTATTTTGTGAAACCAGTACATCTCACTTTGCGACATGTTCTTCAAGTTTTTCCGAATATCAGATATATTGAAAAAATTCCAAACACTGTAACTGCCGCAGCAGCCAGCCAATAAAGGACGGTGTTTAGAGAAATCTTCGGACGCGCTGTCACCTCGCACTTCCTCGTAATATTTTGTTATGGCCTGTTTGGCCAACTTCACCGCTATGTCTATCGATGACTCCTGAAATGTAGTGAAGTACTTCCGTCTTTTAAGAGAATTCATGATAACTCGCTTTGTGTTAGTTCTTATTATCTGGGCGCCGGCATGCAGGTATGCCAAATGGGTCTTGTACACGGCGAGCCGATCAAATTCGAGGGCTTTCACCGCGAATTGTCTCCCCAAGTTTTTGGTCGTGCTCAAATGGTTACGTAGTTCAGCCTCGAAGTTGCCGTCGAACACCATTAACTTATCCATCCTGTGTGTAATATCGATTGCTGGCGATTGCTGAGAATCTGCTCCTTGACGTCTGGATGTCCGTATTTGGTGCGTGATTCTAATGCCTGAACATCGCTTCTTATAAAACCAATCGAGTCAATAACGATACTGCGACTCGATCTGCGATCGGCGGGTATTTAAAGGACGTTTTTATTTGTCTGTTATTGATCTCTGTTGTTTGGTCATTTTTTTCTTGCAGCGTTTAAAGTGATCGTAGAAGCGCGCACGGAAGAATTTAACAAGGATCCGATGAATTTTTTTTCCGTAATAACATAACAATTCAAGATGAGTCATATCCCGGGAGGATTAAAGACAAAACAGTAAAAATGTAATTATCTCGTCCACTCTTTGTTAAATAGCAGAAGAGAGGTCGCGGTATGAAGTAATGACAATTTGTATACTCAATCAATTGTTCCCACTACTCAGCAACCATAAAAATTACAATTTTAATCGATGTCTACGAATCCTCCCATTGGTGTGTGTTAGCGGTTTGGAGTAGAGACGAAGTTGTACAAATGCATCTTTCGTCAACCACAATATCCTACAGATGATTAACTTTATTGAGCTCTCCTAATTAATTTTGTGCGTAGAAGTGAGCGACCGTAGCTGGAAAGAAAATTTTTTTTCCTCTTCCAATAGAATGTGCATTATACTTATCTAAACGATGCGTATGTCATTTGAATATAGTTAATACTATATTCTCTTTTACATAAAAGTAATAAAAGCAAACATATGCATGTTATCTTATTTATTGCGCATTTGTATAAAAACTTATAAATAAGCTTTAAATTAAGATAATAAGATTCGTGATGGTTGCGAGAACGCAAAAAATCATAAACTTACAAAATATACTCAATTTCCAATCCATTAGTTTCTTTTTTTTCCGAGATTTCTCCGTACCTTCTTAAAAGAAATATGTATACATATTTAATATAATATAATAAATTATATTATATTATAATATATAAAATTTTATATGATTTTATATATAATATAATATAATATATATATATATATATTATATATATATTATATTATAAGGAATTCATAAATGTATATAATTTTATAAGAATATATAATACTATGTAATGCAATATATAATATTATATAATTTTAAAAATATATATAAACACATATATGTATATTTCTTACTATATACAAAATTGAACAATTGGATAATTTCCATCGATAGCATTTTGTTATGAGTATTAAGTACAGATTAACGAGACCTCGTCCATTTGTGTTCCGATGTTGTCTCTGTATTGTTCACTTCCACATAAGTTCGCACGCTTGCAAACAAATAGGAGTTGACAAATAAAATAGTCATGTCGCGATATAAAAATGTTTCATTTTAAAGTAGGGTTACGAAAAACACGATAAGAGGAATAGCTTTTTAAATAGATTGTTAAATAAGAATAGAAAAAATGTCATCGATGGAAAAAGTCCGATAACATATTTTCTCATTACATGATATTTTATCTCGCTTTTAAACATACTAATTCTTTGTTGTACTTTGTGTATGTGTGTCTATGTGTGACATATTAATGCTATATGCTATATGCCGTGGTCTATAATAATATTATAGACCACGGTATTCTGTTATGCATTAAAAGCTAATTAAGTATTCAACTTCGGAATCCTCGACTTCCTCCGGAATCCTCCTCTAACGAGGGGTAAAAACGTATGATAATCTTACAGTTACGCTTGGTTCCCCATGGGACGAATAAATCATTGGTGCACAGGTACACTGCGTACGTCGAGTAAACGCGATTAATCGTTTATTTGCGTACAAAACGAGGAAAAGTGTTCATAACGACGGTAAGCCTTTGGAATTTTCGCGATGCATTTTCCACGTGCATCACACCGATACTCGAAACATCGATTCCGAAGAATCGGGAGCTACGCTCGTATCTATCAATCGAACGTGATTCATGAAACGGTATACTGTCACAATTAATATCGAGCCGTTCCCTCGCGTCCAAACTGACTGGCGTTTACTCACCGACGCATTTCCGACGCGCTCCGTCAATCGCCATGGCACATCGCTCGAGAAGCGTCTCGTGAAGTATCAGATCAGGCATCAACGCACGATACCGATTGCGACGGCGCGATCGGCGTTGCGACACGAGGAATCGTAAGGGAGGTCACCCTGGCACGCAAACAGGATACTCAACGTATTCTGAATCCTGCATTCGAAATGACCACATGTGTGCATGCGAGCACACGCACTGAGTCTCTGAGGTTAAGCTCGTTGGTCCATCTCACAATTACCCAGCATTGTATTGGGGCTCAATATTACGTAGCTGGGATTGCTGAAACTGTCCGGCATGCCGTTTCGCAGATCACTCTTCTGCTTCGGCATGTTCACGTAATTGTCTTGCGTGCTGATGATGGACGGTGGATAGTCCATCTTCCGCGAATCCGACTTGTCGGCTTGCTCCTTGGACGTGCCGCTCTCGTCCACATCGTCCAGGTCGATCAGATGTAGATTTCGGGGCGCGTTGCAGTAGCCAGAATCGCGGTCGACAGGCCGGTCGGTTAACTGGTCCTTCATCGCCTGCCTCTGCCGCGCGAACTCGGCTCTCCGTTCTTGGACGTTGATCGGCTTCAGATACGGGTCGGGTTCCTGCTTGAGCATGGGCGACTGCTCGACCGCGTCCTCAGAGTCCGACACGGGCGACGGGAACTCGAAGTGAGTGCGAATCTGGTTCGGTCTTGGGCTGAATATGCCGGACTCGTCGGTCTGACCGCCGGGACTCATGCGTAAGTACGCGGAGTCTGTGCCGATCTCCGAGAACGGCGAGTTCACGTAGTCCGTCGGCGACGATAGGGCAGCGTGATCCGGCGCGGACATCATCGTCAGGTAGTCGTTCTTGCCGCCCTCCAGGATCATGGTGTTCATGTCCATGTAAGGTGTGTTCAAGCTGATATAATGCTGCGGCACAAAATAAAGAGTGTTACGCTTTGTGTCCTTTTTAGAGCGCGCATTTTTTTACAGATGCTTCCTCGTACGTTTAAGCGACTGGTAATTAATTCCGTGTATTTAATTACGAGCGAATATCTTAGAATTCGTAAAATATAAGAGAATACGTATAACATAAAGGTTTTCTGATTAATCTTATAACTGTATTTCGATTGTTCCGAAATTCCACGATTTTCTATGTATACAGAAATCGCCATTCGTTCGTAGTAAACATCAACTAACAGTAAAGTTATATAAATATTAAAATCTTTCACTTAACAAGGTAACTATTAAATACAATACATGTTATACACTTATATTGTTGAGTGGGAAGCTATAATATTGATGTAATGTTACCATTGATATTTACTGGATTATCTTTACAAATCTCAAAATTCTCACGAGGTCAAAAGTTGAAGAGAATTTTACGTTCAATTCACAGGCGTATTTAATAGAATAAAATCTTCTAAGATCGTATTTTTGGAATATGAGTTGTTCACATCGCGCTCTATAAGTGTTACAGTATTTGCTGTGAGTAGTCGCGGACTCTTCTCGCATCTGTGTGAAATAATAATGCGGAGTGACTCACCGATTTCACACTTTCGTCCAATAAATCGCCGATGCTTTTAACGAGGTCCGTGAAGCTTGGTCGCAGAGTAGGCTTAGCCTTCCAGCATTGCAGCATTATGTCATAGCTGTGAACAATGCGAAATCACGCGTAAGAGACACCGATTTTCCGTCGTGGCAATAAATCTCACTTACATGTCGCTCATAGCATATTGCGGCTGCTCCATTCTGTAGCCCTCGATCAGCTTTTGATACTGCTTCTCGGCTTCCATGCCGGGATACGGCGTCTCCGCCAAAGTGAAGAACTCCCAGAGCACTATGCCGTAGGACCATATATCGCTTTGGGTGGAGAAGATTCGATCTCTAATCGACTCGATAGCCATCCACTTTATGGGCAATGGACCGTCCCCCTTCCTCTCGTAATTGCCGTCTTTGTACATACTCTTTGCCAGACCAAAGTCGCAGATTTTTACTATGTTGTCCTCTGCGAGCAAGATATTCCTCGCCGCCAGGTCACCGTGCAACACCTAAGAAGAGAACATATACATATAATCTTCAGAGAAACTATATTATTATAATTGTATATACATTTGCATACAATCTGCATACAATTAATATATTAATCGTATTAAATAAATATATATATATCCACTTACACATTTGAAGCGGATAAAAATATTGTTTCGCAAATCTAATCTCGCGAATTCACATAGAAAAGAAGACAGTATTATGCGCCATATTCTCTTATAAATAATATTTTGAGCGAATAAGTATTTACCATAAATATTTCATGTCTTTGAATTTAGAATCGATTAAGTCACACTTTAGCGAATGTAATCGTTGAGCTTTCAATTCAAAATATTGATTATTAACAATGTTATTGTACAAAATGGAGGGCTATAATATCATCTTTTTCTCTATATATAAAACTCCGGATACTTTGAACTTGCGAACAGCATACAGCTAGTTTATTGATTAATTTCGAAAAATATTATATAAAGCTCAGGCTTTTCTTGTAGTTATTCGTATTATATCCTTTGACATGTCAGAATAACGTACCTTCCTTTGGCTAAGGTATTCCATGCCGCGTGCCACTTGGAACGCCCAAGACAACAGATCCTGAGTGCAAATTGGCTTGAGATTGTGGTCTTTATAGTCACCATGGTAATTCGATCGCCAGCCCGGCTGAGATGAGTTATTGCTGAGAATAGAGCCGCCGTTTGGAGACAAGCAGATCTCTTGAGAGTCCGAGCTAATTTGCGGACAATAATGCACCGCATCGATGCCCGAATTTGCACTAAGACTGCGAGAAAAGGATAATGCGGCATATTTTATCCTGTCGGATGGGCAGAAGAGAAAAGAAGAACCTTGTTAAACCATAGAGCCCCTCGCATGCAGCAGATGTTGGTATGCGTAACTCGACATGCGGCAGGATAACATTTGTGGACACAAGATATGTGCGGTTAGGCGAGTTAGAGTCAGTTCCCGAGACTTTGAGTGAAGCGCAAAAGTAGTCCTCCGTTAGCAAGAACTTCATCGTAAAAAGACTTTTAATTACGAGTGAATAAACATGAATTAATTAATTCTTCTCCGCGATCTTAATTCAATCGGTACAATGTCACACAACACCGAAATACTTTCACTATTATTATTAGATCCTACGTGAAAGTGTGCAGGGCGCTTTATTGAAGTGCAGTTTTGATTTAGGAAGCAGTTAAGAAAATATTCTATATCTATTAATAAGATAAAATGAGAATGTGGTTGTGATCGATGATAATGTGATACTTGAAACATGATGATCGACAGACACACCTGTTACTACTATTGATACTGGCAGTTCTCGTCAACACGTCCAAACCGATGGTATTATCGAGCTTTCCAGTGTTGGGATCGATCTGGTTAACAAAATCCGTCCTATGTCTCAAGAGATAATTATGCAAGTTACCGAAACGACAGTACTCAACGATCACCAGGAGTTCGCCTGTCATAACACGCAAATTTTCATGATTATTAGCGCTTCTTCAAAATAATTTAATTCAATCGATTTCATCGTCACTTCCAACCTTCTTCCCGGGTTCACAAGTTGATGGTCGATCGGTTAATTTTTTAGACCATTCGATTTGATAACTATTGGTTTTTTACTGACGCAAAAGAGGATTGATGCTACATTGGCGACATTTTGTTAATATCATGTCGATATATACTCGATACTTAGCTATCTATGATATGTAGAAGACATCGTATAGACGTCGACCGGTCGATGACATATCCAAGTCGAATCGTTACATCCATATATCAATTTTATGCGGGTGTAAACTAAATAACGACCGGATCATCAACATCTATATAATATCTTCTAGATATCGTGATGAAGTCTCACAAATATTAAATCGAACATTGATTTCCACACGATTTCGACCGATTTCTTCATCGACGTGTAAACCCGAGTTCCTCTTCTCTTTAACCCAAAAATTCAATAATTGACGTAACGGCGCGGATCGTTCCGGCGATACGTACGTTTAGAGATATTCTTCGTGCACGCGCCGAGAAGATTAACGACATTGAGATGCTTGCCGAGATGTACCATGATCTTCAGTTCGCTGGCGAGCGCTCGAACGTAAGTCGGATCGGTGGTTCGCCGTACCATCTTCACCGCGACAGTGGTGACGGATTCGCTCGAGCATATCCCTTGCGCTTCCGCCTTCATCACCACCCCGAACGCACCGCTGCCCAGTTGTTTCCCTGGGAGATTAATAATCGGAACATTACACATAACGGCTATCCAAATGTTTACTCTACAGCGTTAAACGGAACAAGCACTGCGTTGCGATTGATAACCGGACAGCAGTAAAATGGCCGCTTTCTTACCGAGCTTTAATCGTTCTCTCGGAAATTCCCACTTCTTATCATAAGGAAGTAACTCCGCTTGATCGTCGACCGTCAAGTCTGGATTCAGACACTCCAAGGCGCCTTCCTCGAAGTGCATCAGACCCGCTTCCATCAATTCTTTCTTCATTATCTGCGTGAGACAAATCGTTTTTCACTTACAAATTAGCTCGTTAGTTTTACGTTTGTATGAGAGTTTCCTCGCAACTCGACATCATGTAACGTCTTTTTTACGTGCGTTTTTGCACCAAGTGTAAAAAACAAAAAAGCGTAGAGCAATTTACCTTGTTACGGCGGATCTTTATTGTGGAGAAGACCGCGAAAATCAGGAAGAGGATAGCCACAATCGCTAACGAAGTTGTTAATATTATTTCGTGTTGCTGCCCTGGAAGGATTCTACATTTCTTTTTATGCTCTCTCGCTAACGATGATTTGGTGAGTGAATATATTATTGAACCGTTTGAGCAAATTATTATAGTAAAGGACGGGAAATGTGGATAAAAATTCGATAATTCAGATATATATTTTAGACTCCCACGAAATGGAGAAATACTTGATTTGACTTCCGGGTTAGTGTCGCGTCCTTCATGGATTTTCTTCTTCAGGAATTTAAAAGTATGTTATCCCTTTCAGGTCGTTTCTCTGCCCAAAGAATCGAGTTGAAATGTTCATAAGACATTTTGGAGACAAATCCACGAAGAATGCGACACTAACCCGAAAGCCAAATCAAACATTTCTCCACACCATGAGAGTTTAAAATAAATATCTGAATTATCAAAATTTTATTCACATTTTCCGTTCTTCACTATAATCTCCTGATAAGTTTCCTTCTCGCCTATTCGGTTAGTGGCACGACACATATACGTTCCACTATCGGTTTGCGACATGTAATTTATGTGGAGCTCCTGATGCTTTTTTGTGAAGTTGTACTGTCCTTTATTGTCGTCCACCAGCAACTCGTAGTCCTGGAATAATGATCGAAATGTAGAACGCAATCTCGCCGAACACAGATAGCCAATAAGGAGGACACGACATGTACTTTGTACCATGTTACTTTCGGTTTCGGCAATCCATCTGCGATACATTTCAAAACTACCGTCTCCCGACCGTTTTCGGCCTCGTCGATGTACTTTTTTTCGGTCTCGTTCATGTTGGTTAAACTGAAGAATGGCAGCACCGGCTCTGCGACATTAAGAATTAGTCACAATACGTATTGTCGGTTATGAAAAAATTAAAAAATAGCGAATACAGCGTTGTAAAACGGACATTTTATAGTTTTACCACGTTTTACATGCGACACGTGTTCTGTTGAAATTATACAGGACAAGTCTCTAATTATACAGGACATTATGCAGGACAAGTCTCTAAATTTCTCTCAATTTACATACACAGGAACTCAAAACACACATACCTGAAGATATCATCCGGTTTTTTATAGACAGATAAATATATATACGATGTAATTACCATTTACAACTAATTTGTAAAGCCTAGAGTCAGGAAGATCACTGTCCTCCGCCATGAATTTTCCGGTGCACATGTAATCCTGAGCGTCCGATTCTTGAACCTTATTGATACTCAAAATCGACCGATAGGTGAACTGAGTCTCACGACGTATAATCTCAATTCTTTCTGAAAATGAGAAAGGTTACACTTAGTATATCCACTGAAAGTAGATGCTCGGCTGAAAATTTTATCTTTCCTTCCAACTTCTGTAGAAACCATCAATAATCCGGTTTCTTTAAAAGACTCGACTTTATCCAATCATGTGTGTTCAAATCTCGATCTCCTCTCTTCTTACTAATTACCTGTTTCTTCGATAGGCTCGTCCTTCTGATTCGTCCATGATATTTCCTCTGTATAGTTATATACGGAAACCGCGCATATCAGTTCCACGTTATCGCCTTTCGTCACCGGCTCTTCTGGCGGGATGATGGCGAAAGCACCTATTCCGTCTGTGGAATTCACGCGATAGGAAGCAAAAGAAACATCAGTGCTATCTGTTTTCTCGGCATAGTTATTTTCTGATGGATTTTAATTCTTGCCGCTTAGGAAGTATAACTCAGTCACTTATATTAATTGCGGGCAAGAGAAAAAATATATCATACCGGAAACAAAGATGACTTCAGTCGAGGTTTCGCAGCCCCTGATGTTGCAGGCCTCGCACATCAACACTCCCGTCATTTCGATCGTCATTTTGACCTCCAATGTCAACTCAACATCGTTCCGTGCGCTTTCCACCACATTCTGTAAAATACGAGAAAGCTTTTCGTTGCACAATATACGAATACAAATATTTATCGAATGAGACGGATATGAAGTTACACTCACCGTCAGTTGCACGGTTGTTGAATTTATACGCGAAGGATATTGGGGGCATTTGATGAAATTCCACGTTATATTTGGCGACGGGAAAGCCGCCACGTCGCAAAACAAATTCACGGTCTGGTTGGGTGCATAATAAGTTGCGATATTGTACAACATGGTGAGCGGCTTAGCTGAAAGCAACAAGTGGTTTAGGCCGGTGCTATATTGCATGTTTCCTGTTGAATACCAAAAAGCAGCCTCGATACCTAGAACATGCAACGTGAAGTTGATCTTTTTGGTTATGTAGTCGTTCTTAGCCGTAAGGGTGTAATTTCCCGAGTCCAGAACAACTAGCGATTTTATCTGCAACATAGTTAACCTCGGGAGTATTCTTACGGTGTACTTCGTGCTGTTCAGAATTTCCTCGTTATTCTGTTTGGACCTATAACAAAAAACAACAATGAAACAGTGTATCTTGAAATATATATTAAAATATACATTTTTAATATCAAGATTTGTTATATTGTATCAACCGATTTTGCGCGCTAATACGCATTCGCGCATACTAAAGAGCAAAATACTGATCATTTAATTCGCGCGAATTTTCCAGCATGCCGTAAGAATTTGTACCATTGTATCACAGGCTTAGGGTATCCGTCGACGTAAACGACCCATTGTATCTGCTCGTTTTTCTCTGCCAGATAACGTTGTTCGGTACTTTGGGTCGTGAGATTAATGAATCTCACTTCAGGATCTAAAATTGCAAGACACGATTACGATTGACTTGCAAGTACGAAAGTGTACGTATAAATTCGTATTAAAAAAAGTGTACGTATTAAAAAAAGTGTACGTAAAAATATACGTGAAAATTCCATGACTTCAATTTGAATTGATCGTTGCCGAGGCATGTGATACTTTTACATATTAATGTTAAAATACAATATTAATCGATAATAATTAATATTAATAAGTAGCACCGTCCATATTCTTTTATCGTGATAATCCCCGAATCAAAAGCAGTAGACTAACCATGTATCGTAATAATCTTCGTCGCGTTCTTAGTCTCGCGATTCGACAGAATGTAGCATTCGTATTCCCCCGCATCCTTGTCCGTTACGTTAAGTATCGTCATCTGACGCGTTACCTCTTGATAACCCTTGTCAAGTCTTCTTTCAAATTCCTTAATGCTTATTCTGCTGCTATTCTACAAGCGAATAAATCGTGCGTGCACGAGTGACGTAAGTTACGTAAGTGTTATGTTGTGTGTGTATGTATGTGTGTGTATGGCATCGTAATTAAAATATAATTAAATTATAACTAAATAGAAAACTCTCTCCTTATCCAATATCTAAACACTCTCTTAATTAACATTTCGATCACGCACGATGAAAGAGGCCCGTGTATATGTTAAAATATCGCGCACGAGAATCCGTGTATCAGCTGGCCTGCATTTTCAATGAGTAAACTTCGCGATCATCCAGTCGAACAAGCCCGTATAATCGACGTCGATCAAAGAATTTCGTTGTCGGTAGCCGAGTACACGGATTTACGATGTGTGCACGGCAGTTTTGTTATTATCAGCTCAATCAAGTTACTCAAGCAGGGTCATTTTATTATTAGCTCATATCACACTCGTACTCCGAGATTTTATAATTCGCTCTCTGAATCTTCAGAGGGACGGAGAAATATACATTTGGTTGAGAGAACTTAATTCACTTGACTCGTCTAAAATTGCACACATTAAAATACATACTACGTTCAAAAAATAAATGTTACATATTTATAAGTTATATATAATATAGTATATAGTATTTATTTATAAGTTATATATAGTATATAGCGAATATATCGTAAATTCATCAAAAACATCAAATTTATTCAAAGTTTATTCTGAATTCTGGCAAGTTTAGTACTTCAATTAATAATATTAAATTGAAACAAAGCTTCTGTGTGCCTATTCAAATTAATCTAATTTAACGAATTGAACTTTCCCTTTTAAAAGTTTTATAATATTCTTGAAAAGAAAATAGAAAATTCTTCTCTCAAGTGATAATGAGCTCAAAAGTTTGTAATGTGTATAGTTTAAGACTATTATGAAGAAAATATTCTCTATTGAAGATATATTTCTTAAAAGAAGGAAACTGAAGTATGTAATCGTTTTTCTTAGCAATAAAGTGATATTTTTCTCTGTGTGCCGTTTAACATCCGAAATGTCAAAAAACGTGTCTCTTTTCTTCCGACGTATTTCTTTCGCAATGCGAAGCTGAAAGCAACGTACCACTGGCTGTTTCTTCCAATCGAATAAGTATCGCAACGATTTGTCTACTTCCACGGTGCAGTTGACGTGGAGATTTTCGCCACGTGTAACGTGACGCAGATTCTCATCGTGGATGATCGGTTGCGGCAAAGTGTGCTTTCCTGAATGAGCAATTTGCATCGTTATTAAGGAACAACAGTTGACTTTTGTCGTTAAATTTCAATTGGTCACACGTGACGCGCGCGACGTCTTAAAACATGCAGCTAAATTAACACCTCTGAAACCCTCGGGGTGGAAGGAGAAGGAACAGTACTTACGTTGCACGCTCAACGTGTAAGTGATATCCTGCTCCACATCGTCCATCCTTATTATGCACGTGATGTCGCCACTGTCTTTCACCGTAACGTTTTTAATAGTGAGACCAATTTTCGGATCGTACCACGATCTGCTCTTTATTCTTTCCTCGATTGACTCGTCCTACGAATCAATAACGCGTCGTTATTGAGAGCATCAGATATTCGGCCAGGCAGCTAAGTCCTGACCGCTTACGTCACATTGGACAATTGAGTTAAATTAATTATTAATTAATTATTAATTAACGAGAGAAAATTTTGCGAGGCGGTGCAGTTGGACCTCCTCAAGTGGCTGGCCGGCCCGCCAAACATTATTATAAAAATTCACTTTTCGTTTATTTTCTCATCATCTTGACGTCATTTCGACGTCGTCGTCACTTTCTGCTTTATTCAGAGAATCGTTCGTTAACATATCGTTACTCACTATATCGAAGGTGACATTCATGTCCGGCGATGTGGGTCTGCACGATATCACGACGTCTTCACCGGTGACCATCTCCAAATAGGGGAGCAGCTCATTCTCCACGAAGAAGCTTGTATTGGCTGCAACGCAATGTCGAGTGAACGCGCGAAGAACGCGAATACGCACGTACGAAGGTAGGATTGACATGGGGAAATGAGAACGCTCGTCATTGATAGGCGATGAGGATAAGCGAAACATACGCGATCGATCTTACATCTCACGTAAACGTATAGCCAGTTAACCTCGGGATCCTCATAGTTATCCGAAATGATCTCCACACTTGTGTCGGCACAACTGTACCAGCCAGTGTCGCCGAAAATGGTCGACGGCCGTTGTAAGATGTACCTGAAAACTCCGTCCTCTTCATTCTCGGTCGTTCTCGTTTCCGAAGTGTTCACCTGACCAAGTACAATAACGTGAAATTTAACATGTACACCCGCCGCGCTCTTTTCCGCGATATCAAAGCAAAGATCGATTTTTAATGTTAGTTAAAATTAATGCCGGAACAATTTTATGTTACTTGTCATTTGGGTCACGTTAGTCACTGGTGATCCACGTTGTCAATTGTGAGTTAAATATTATTTATCGAATAACATGTGTCTCATAATAATTATCAAAGTATAAATAATTGATAAAAATATAAATAATAAATAATTATAAAATAAAAATGATTATCAATATTATTAAAGTATTTAACGATTATGTTTTAGAGCCAAATTATCAAACGTCCTGAACGAAAAGTTTAGCTATCGGTGATCCACACAGTATAGAACGTGTTCGATAACACTGGTCGACAAGATAACTTGACAACGACTCAGTAACTTTGGTAAAACCTATATTTTGTGCTTCCCTGTTAACTCTGTTTTTCATATCTGATATTCAAAAAGTCGTGGCACATCATTTTTGTATAATCTGTTGGGACTGACCTCAATCTAAATCCATCTCGCAATGTAAAAGTGATGTGTAAAAAAAAACTTTAAATCCATTTCGGCGATGTAAAAGTGATTGAAGAAAGATAAATAGATATTTCTATCAAGAATGACGTCCCCTTATAAATATTTCAACAGCTGTACGTGCTACAGAGTTTTTATTTTTGTATTTAGCGCGTAAAAATGATTAAGAATCACCTTATTTGTTTCAAAACACCAAAAAGTTTTACCAAAAACAAACATTTTTATTTGTTGACTAGTATAATTAAAAAAAATATCATCTTTTCTCGAATTATATAATTTTTATAAGGCATTTTCGTTAAAACATTTCCCACATCTGTCAGGTAAGACACGCCGGCAGACACGCCGGCATTTCGATTACGCAACCAATGATTAACATCAGACATAACCTATCTTAACAAGTTTGACAGTGCGCAAAATATATATACTGACTTTGTTGATTATGGTTTGTGGGTAAGTAAACTTGATCGGAGTGTTGCCGGTGCATTTAATTTCTAAAAAATCTCCTTCATTTATCCAAAGTTCTTTTTCCTTCGGCCAGATGACCGGTTTCAAGCCGTCCGACACTGAAACACAAGAGTAAAACAATTTGCTCGTGATTAATTTGAATTCAACGCCTCACGAAATCGAACTGATCTATCGAAAACGCAAACAAATCAATGTAAATATAATAATAAAGGTCAAAAACGGATATACGGAATTTGCAATATGCACGGAATAATGCAATAATGAAACAAATTTCATTTCAACCAACATTTCCAAAACTTTTACATTCGAATTTTTTTTCGTTTAATATTATACAAGTTATCACAAATATGTGTATATTTTATTTCAGTGGGGACCGCTGTTGTTAAGTGACTTCTTCGCTTGATTCTTTGCTTTTATCTATTTACCTTGATATTGTTTACTGTCGCATATTCTATACGATGTTTCAGTATTGATCGGTTCCACTTAAGAGAGTCCGAATAAGGACCAAAACGTTTGGACATGTATTGATAGTAATATTGTAGTTAAATTTTTTCTTTGCACATAGAGAAAAATATCTATTGCTAAGAAAAGCTGCTACAGCATCCACTTTACTTTCCTTCTTTTAAGTAATAGTTTTTTTCGAGAAAATATTTTTTTTTCTGGATAATAATCTTAAAATATATTTATCACAAATTTTACAAAGGCTCATTGTTACGTATTCAAGCGAAAAATCGATTCCCGTTTCAAGAATATTGTAAATTTTATCGAAGAAAAATTAAATTCAGTTAATTTAAATAAATATAAACCAAAATTTGTTGGAATTCAATATTCTTAATAGAAATACTAAACTTAACAGGTTTCGGAATATATTTTGAGTAAGAAAATTAAACGCCTATGAACTTATGATGAATTACATATAACTTATGTACTTATATATACTTGTGAATGTATAAACTTATGAAATACTTCAAACGAGTAACATTTACATGAATGCAATATATATTTTTCTGTATGTATTTTAAGATATTTAGTCAAAATTTATTTCATTACTGTACTATAAGTTCCATGCATTGGCTCCATATTATTGATTTTTTTGTTTACATAAATAGGAAAAAGATGATTCGTTTATTTAGAGCCTATAATATTGCTTTATTATATACAAATAATAATATACAAATAATTTGTCGTGCAGCTGCAATGTTTCTGATTCCTGAACTTGTTATCACTTGCTAGTACCGATATGCAAAATTATTTTTATAGATTGTGTCATCTCACAAAGATTGGAAATTCCACTTCTGCCGAAAGAACGCGACTATTGGCAAATCCCCGCATATCGCAACAACAGACGGGAACATATGGTTAGCAGTTTAGAGAGAAACATCGCTGTAAGCCGCAATGTCCTGCGGATGATTGGCTTTATCTGGCCCTCCTCGTTACTCTTCTGCAGAAGGGCGCACGTGCCGTTAGTGTTTCTGCGCAAATACGATCGTGACTAGGAAGGAAGTCCTTTCTTTCCTCTCCTGATAATGCCACAACATTATCAGCAAGCTTGCTTGTCGCGGAGGCCGTGCCAAACAGAGAACGCGAGAACCGGGGATTTACAATGTACATCGATGAAGTTAACTATGTAATAATTCACTGTAAACGGAATTGTCCGTCGCGAGCGGCGGAACAGGAGGTTTATTACAGATATGCTCGTGTAATCTTTGCAGCGTCATGTATGTAAACACAATACGGAAGATTATGTGTAAATCGTATTGAAATGACGCTAACGCATTAGTGGAATTTGTCCTTGTATCGTTTAAAATATTAGAAAGTTAAAATATCAAAAAGTTGCTTGCGAAGATAAACGTGTTATAAAATAAAATAAATTAATAGATGGATATTTTATTGATTTACAGAGCGATAAAAACGTGTGTTTTCTCTTGTACGTTTTATTTGATATTATTACCGTTTACATTATAACTTTAGCTTATTATTCATTATTAGTAATTTATCATAGCATTTTCGATTAAATTATTTTAAATTATATTATAATTATATAATTATATTATATTATTAAATTATATTATATATTAATTCGATTCATTGCGACATTTTGAAAGTTCCATTCTGAATTGCTTTTATTTCTTCTCGTAACTGAGAAGATCGAGCGAATGGCCTCATATTTGCGAGTTTGAAGCACGACAGCACAGAGTAGCGCGCCATTTATGAAGAGAAGTACTCGCTTAATTACCGTGCATTAATTTCGATCGTGGTGAAGCTGCAGCAAGACGAAAGACTCAAGTGTCCAGGTCTTTGTGTTGCGGGAAGAACGTATAATAACGATCACCTGTCGTTATTCCTTTTAACGCACATTACGATAGTTCATAAGAATTGTCTCCTTTCTTACCTCCTTATTTTACAAATAATATACTTACATCCATTTGATGTGAGTTCTATAATTAACGACAGTTCGTCGAAGGAGCAGTGCAACAAAAAGTTTGCGTCACGAGAATGTTAGTTACAATAACATCGCGCTTTTTTGTATTCGCTGGGATATTTTGCATGAGGAGTCATCAAAGAAAGAAGCACTTATTACACAAACGAAATGACTAATGCAGCCAGGCGTGACGCGCACCAAATGTAACCAATATCATCGACGGTTATTCTTTTCTCTCCGCATACGACGCGACGCATCTCGGAGATGACTCCGCTCTTGCCGTTCATTATGATTTTTATGAACCATGTCGTCATGTGACCTTAATTGCGCGTATTCGATCGTGTGTTGCTAGACGACATAATAAAATTATCGTCACTTATTAGAACGCCATGCGGAAAAATAGGTCCAATTCGATGGACGTGCCGCTGAAAGACAATCGATAATCATCTCTATAAATACGTTAGAAGTACGCGCAATGAATGTTAGATATATACGACAACAACACGTGGAGCCATTTTCCTCTTTCGTTGATAATTGATGATATGGTTAACGCAATTTGTGGGGTGATACCGATAATCGTTAGTCATTACGTCGATTCGATTTGCGAAACCGAAAGTAATTTGATCTCCGACCCCACGTTTATTTTAGAGAATTTTTTCTGAAGTACAAGATATTGCCAAACATGAAAAGTTGTTAAAGAATTCAAAGCGCCGTCATACAAAAGTAGTATTATTATTATTGACACTAAGTATAAGTACGATTATGGCCTTACACAGAAACTTTTAAATTTTGTTTCAAGAATGATACAAGATGAAAAAACGGGGAAAAAAGTTATAAATTTTATTAATGATTTTTTAACTTCTGTTATTCGTTTGTCAGATGTATTTTGCGTCATGTAATGTACTATTGCATTAAAATATTCGCTTTAACGTTGAAATATGCATAACAATAGACAAATATATTATAACATATTATAACATTATATATGAATGTTGAGAGAGAAAGGATATCTTATTAAAGATATCTTCTCGAAATCCACATATATTTAGATGATAAGAATTATTTTATTTCACAAAAATAATATTATGGCTTAATATTCGTTGTGTGATATTCTATGAAATACATTTAATGTATTTGTCGATCTTCATCTGTCGATATCATTCTTATTCACTGTTATTCACATTTCACGGAAGTATATGTGTAATCGTTTCGGCAATGAAAATGACCTACGAGATTAACACAGATAAGAAAGGTTTGCTATTCATTGGCTCAATGAATCGTGATTCACGTGGTAGTCTTTCCATTCACGTGTACTCCACTATTCACAATAAAAGCTACTCGACCATTTCGTCTATGAAGATGGCACTATTTACACGCTTATATAAAACGAATTTCCAAGAAGTGATACTGAGGATTATTACACATCTAATTAATTAAACGGTAAATTAATGTGACTTTTGATAGCCAGATAACTCGTGTTATCTGGTCGCACTAATTCTTCTGCTCGCGATATTCGAAAATAGATCCTCAAATATCGTCGCTTATATTTGTCACAGCGATTGTCATAGCCGGCAATTTTTCAAAAGTATTTACTATTCGAAATTATAAATAATTATTCGAAAGTATGATTCATCTAAGATATTTGCTCAAATTTGTAGGCCAAAATTCCTATAAATGCCGGAGCTACTACTTTTTGAGTAAAACCGGTTACGGTCGGTTGATGCGGAAATGCGGTCAGTCGGCACCTAGATAGGTCCCTTTGTTTTATTCGTATCCGGTCCCTTTTTTCACGGACTTTTTCTACAAATTTGTTCTCAAATCTGGTTAAAAGGTCGTTTCTATGCAGTGATACAGCTCCAGGCTAACATTCCCAAGAGCAGTGTTCAATTCAGTCGTTTTTGAAACGTCAGTATCAAATCGAGCACTTGATAATGAAAAACTGTGTTGAACATGGAGAGAAGCGCAGATTCAAAGGAAGAACTTTTGAGTGAGCAATTTTGAAAAGACATTAGGCGAAAGAAAAGACGTCCATTCAACAGATACGAAACGGAGCGAGAGAAACAATCACGACTACAGTCCATTGCCTGATAATGTTCTCAATGCCAATAAATACATTCCAATCGTGCTCACGCGGAGGGGACATTCATCGCTGAGAAATGTTCTCGTTAAGTTACGAAACTACGACTGATCATCAGATACGTACGAAAGAGCACTGAGTTCGACGGAAACACAGTCGCTGTGTGTCGGTGACATTAACATGACCCATCGAGATGTTTGTTTCGCAAGATCGCGAAGATACCACGAAAAGAGTTGCAAGATCTCGTATCCGAATCATCCAACAGAGCTTCGTCGCGTCTTAAAACACAAAGGAACACAAGTCGATCCACTCAGCATTCTCGAGCAAGTTCGATGTCCTCCGGACGATTTGGAGATCGCCGGGACGCTGTTAAGGTGCACGGAGGAAACATTGCGGTAAAAATTACCGCAAAATTTTGTAATGTTGGACCACACCGGAATTATAATTAAAATTATAATCTGTGTTGTAATCTTTCGTGATATACTTCATTGTATATATCATTGAGCTAAAGATTACTACACACATAATAATTCCAGTCATAATTCCAGTACGGTCCAATATTACAAGATTTGCTGCTAATTTTGACCACAATATCCCCCTCCCCCCGTGTAAGTATATATACTTGGCGAACGAAGGACGAACAGAAGCGAATGTTTACTAAGAATTGTGTATATTCGCGTTTAAACGCGCGCAAACTTTCTTTGATAAACCACCCAATGAGCAAATCGAGACTTCCGGATTTGCCGTGTTGTGCACATTTTCCAAATTGTAACAACGAAAGTTCGCATTCACTGTTCGTTCGCTTAGCGCACACTCAGCTTTCGAGCCGGCAGATCGGCATTCGCTGATGAGCGTGCCTTCACGTCGTCGTGCCACGCAACGCAGGTAAAATCCAATCGCGACACCAATAAATGTGACTCAATCGTCGGGACCACGTGACCGCGCGTTACGCGCGTTTCGCTTCACCGATGAATCTCCTCGCACGGATGACAGGTACGTGCGGGAGCGGGTGCGCCTCTTGGTACGCGTCGCATTAATTACCTTGGAGTGTTGCGAGCAGCAGAGCGACCAACACGAGCAGCGAGGCACGGGATAACGCGTGGCACAGCATCGTCGATTTTTCGCGCACTGCTCAACTTTCCATCACACCTCCAGACACCGAAGTCGTTCGTGGAACATCGCCGGGGCGCGGAGCGGGGAAAAGAGAGAGACTGAGGTCGAACAGGACCCCGGAGTCTCTCTTCAAGGCCTGTGATCAACGTGCGCACCGGCCTACAGCCACTTTCACACTGAGTGTGTAGCCTGTGGAAGCGACTCGAGACCAATAGGCCCCACCCGGCCGGTTCCCCATTCGAGAGCAACTTATCGAGTACGACGTCATCGTCTGGCGACATCATCAGCCGCCTTCGGCTTACTTAAGGTGGTGTACTCACCATCGACCTGATTCCTCCGAGTCCGCGCGTGAAACCGGCCGGCGATCGTTTCGGTTTCACTGATAACCGCACAAGCTTCGATCCGATAAACGTTCCCCACGCGGGGAAAAATTCGCTCGTATCATATCGGGAAATTAATCGCGCCTACGTGCCAGTGGGAATACTCTTGAAAGATAGTTGTCACCTTTGAGGGAGGTCAAGGGTGAAGTTTTCGCGCCCCGTTTGCGAAATTTAAGTGACTGATAGCGTGGAGCGTTTTATATGATATATAGTGAGATACCGTTGATGTTCGATGTTGCTCGTTAAACTGATAAATACGACGAAAAGATAAGAACAGGAACATATGTGTAATTTGATGATTCTTCAAAATGTCGGAAATAATTTTCGCGTACGGCGAACGCGTCACACCATGTGGATGCCTCACTTGTAAAAAATCTTGGTAATAGAATTATCAGCTGTTAGCCATTATATAATTTTCCTCCCTTTCTCTCTATTTTTTCAACTATAAGAATAGAGAGATTTAAACGCGGTCTCGCGATAAATGCCCACGTGGCAAAGTGATGCCTGCATGATGGCCAATTTTAATCAGAAAAGGGCCAATTAGATGTCTTAAATCAGATCCTCTGATTGGTGTCGCGATTGGATTTTACCATTGGATGTTGTACTAATCCGAAATAATTTGTTTGCTATTCGCATATCGTTATGTTATCGGCCAGCAGAAAAATCAGAAAGAGATATAAATGCGGATGTAGTTATTTATAATCGTTCCCCGTGAAGTCAACACATTTACATCGTTTGGTATTTTAGGCACGCGATATTTACTACCAAACGGAATTTTACGCACCGGGAGATATTTAGATTCGTTCCGCGTGAGGCCGCAGAATTTTGCGCACGATCCTATTTCCTCTGCAAATCGATGTCGCCGGGTGTGACTTGTAAATTAGCACAATCTAATTGTGAAAAATGATCGTTATTGAAACGGTTAGCGAAATTAATTGAACGGAATTAATAAGGTCGATTAACGTGTCACTGCCCTCTCAACAAAAGTTTCTTCGTATTTTCCAATTTCTCTTTCTTCTTTTATTAGAACCTAGGCGAGAGACAAGTTACGTTTTAACTTAATGAGTCATCCATAACTTAAAGAGGAACCCGAAGCATCGCCCGAACTAATTAGAATGCTATTAAACTATTTTTCTTGTCGAGATTCGTTGTTGAGATTCGGAAGTATTATTAATGCCCTTGTTTAAATTGTTGACACATTGTATATTACTGAGAATGAAAGTAGAACTGATCGTCAGAAGATCACTGGTGTATCATGCTTTGGAGCTTACGAGAATTATATAGTGATGGCGTTACTGTATTGATAAAAGAAACTGTTTTCACTCGACACTATAATGATCGTTATCGATTAGATATGATAATAACTTCAATTAAAAAAAAATACTTGACGTTGTATCTCTTTCAGTTTTAATGCAAAAATTACCGTAAGCAGGGCTAAATAGATGCATATGTATGTGAATGCAATAAATAAGTAATAAGTAAAAATTATTTATTAAAACTATCACAAAAAATGAAAACAAACGTTTTACGGAAAATGAATAATGATATTAAAACTAATGTAATAAATAAAAAATTTATGAAAACAATATAAAAACATATCAAAGGAAGGTTGGGACAAAGTTGGGAGAATTCCAACTTTTCCTGATTGACTTCTTTGTATTAAAACGTTGCCAAAACTTTTAGATTAAACAAAGTATTAAAATATATTTATACTGTAAAGCTTAAGAATTATATATTAGAATGTGTTTAATAAGATTTTTATAAAATGCAATCATCGAAAGAGATATCACACAAATATTATATAATAAGAAAATAATCACTTTTGATAGTCAAATATATGTGCGGTTTCACTTACTTTGATTTAAAATTATATTCCTCATAATTTGGTAAACTAAGTTTTCATACATATCACAGAGGCACATTGCTGTTTTTCAATAAAAAAAATATATTAATAACTGTTAGAAAAGAATAATCCTTTCCTAATCATCCCACGATACCAACTCTTTATCTTCTCTACATATATGGTTTAACCAATTATCTTAAATGTTCCCAAAACTTAAGATACGGTGCTATGGACCTCTGCTTATCGTCAGGTTTCTTGATTTGACGCCCACTATTATTATCGTTGTTTGGAGGGACTGGTGTCAGTGATACGCGTTATCTTCAGAGTTTTTTTTTTTAAGTCTATCGTTCAGACGATGAGCTCTTTTGTCTGACAAATCGTTAGTAAAATCGTTCGTGGAATTCGAAAAAATAGGTCCGATGGCAGTTACGATGATAGTTTCGCTTTGACAAAACTGTCGGTCGTCACGAAAAACTAAGCAGATCGTATAAAATAAAATTCTGATACATCGTTTATTCATACTATGAACAATAGTAATATTAACGAAAAATTGATACGTCGTGAAATCACTTGGCGATCAACGAACGACTATTAATAAACGACTATTAATAGGGCGTCATAATACACTGGAAAACGTAACGAGGTCGCATTAACTTACGCAGACCTTACCAGAGAGTAGCATGCTCTGCAACTTTCGTTTTCCCGAAGAACGTTTTCTCGTACCAGAGGAATTATGAACTTTCGCACGAAGGCGCAGTATCGACGCTCATACGAGATAAGCGGCGCGCGTTACCGCTTGCGATTCGCGAAACCGTCAGACGCTAATTAATATCTATTAGGACGAATTTCGCGCTTTATATGTATGAGTGTATGTACAAATATTGCAATACTTAATATTATTATATTATTAGCTTGCAGTCTTCACGCCGGGCCACTTTAACCGTTTCCAGCCTCGATAGAAAACTATTCTGTCGTAACAGCTCAGTGAGGAACGAGTTAAGATACGACGTCGTGACCCAAATTGCTGCCGACAGCCACGGGAGTCCGAACGGGGGTGTTATCACTCATTTTACAGGAACTATTGTCAGTATCGATATCTCGAGTATTTTGGTCTCTGTCTTGATCAGCTGGACGACGTGTGTTCTCACACGACGAACTGTCATGGCCTGACATCTCGAGTGTTGTATCGCTCGTTAATTGCTTCGGGACTTCCTCCTTGTAAACGGTGAATCTCTCGAGATTGATCGTGGACGAGGCCGGTATTATCTCCTTCTTCTCGTACCTCCTGCTAATCGACTGTGAGTCTTTCTCCGACTTGCAGGTGTCTTCATCCAAAAAGTTCTCGCGCGAACAACACTGCGAGGAACTGCAGTGCTCGTCCTGACAACGAATTAGACAATCGGTCCTGTCCATATGCGGTTTCATCTGAAAGTGTTAGAACGCGTGGAACGATGTTATCACTCGACGAAGTGATTGAGATATTAACAGGTGAGTATTGTTAACGAACTACCTTGTGAAACTCCGGCTGTACGGTGACCTGCGTGATGCCCATCTCGACGAAGAAGGCAGTGACTTGATCCTTGATACTGGCGTAAACCTATGAAAGAATAGAGGATGTTTCAGTTTTTCTTACTATGAGCTCTTTGCTTTAAGTGAATCTATAGCAAATTATTAATACAACTGGTGAGCACCTTCGGATCCAAGAATATTACATGTGCCGTGGAGATTATTTTGTCCCCTGCCAATTGCCAAACGTGTAAATCGTGAACGTTTACGATACCCGGAAAAGCTTCCAACAATTCTCTCTTGAGAGAATCAATGTTTATATGATTCGGAATTGTCTGCAACAGAATCATGCCCGATTCTTTCACTGCGGGCAGAAATAAGACACATCGATTAATATATTGTCACATCGTGATTTGGGAGAATTTAAATATTTCTTTCTCTCTCTCTCTCTCTCTCTCTCTCTAGTAATGGAATAAAAAATTTGTATTAGAAACTGGTTTTTTAATATTTTACTAATGTATAAATTCGTTAAAAAAAATACACTTACTATATGGGTAACACAGAACAAACAAGGAAATCGACGAGATAATGGCGAAGACTGGGTCAATGTATTTGGCCACTCCGGAGTCGGTGAAATAGACTAAGATAGACACCAGAATGACAAATATGCAGCCGAAAATATCGCGACACATTTCTCGAAAGCCTTGGCTTTTCGGTAACGCCAACGGACTTCGCCTTGTCTGTGCCGACAACTGTTGCTCTCCGTCCTTCGCCTCTTGCGAACTCACGTTTCTGAAATATCGAGTATTATCAATATTAAAGAGAAAAGGACATGCGCATGTGAAATCGAATGTATGAGAAGTATCGGAAAACAGGAGCGCATTTCCAGCGTCGAGATTGCAATTACGATTGAATGAGACTCGCCTGCACAGTATCACGTCTCCGCTTTTGGTGACGTGCAGGAAGATACCCTGGTTGAACGTGAACCCGCCGATCAGGATGTAACAGACGACGTTCAGAAGAACCCCGGAAGCGCCGATACACAACACCGGCAACGGGTGATGCATCTCGTCCAGGTGATCAATGTGTACTAACGTCTGGAACGCCTCCATCAGTATGGAGAAGCAAAAAGAGGCGAGGAAGACGAAGCAGACGAGCATAGTGACGATGTCGATTCTGGCCCACCCGAAGGTGTTTTTCATTCGTCTGTCTGACCACGATTCCTGCGGAAGGAGTTTTCACAGATTCATGCCAATCGGCCGATATTCGTCCTTTCATGAATAACAATAACGATCTTGCTCTTGACTTCGTCATGAATGTATGCGTAAAAACATGATAAGATCCCGACGATATCCGGGATTCAAAGGACGATGGGTTGTCCTCTGAATCGAACAGCTCTTGTATATTTTTATATACTTTTAATATATTATGACTCAATAAAATCCTTTTTTGATGCGTCGGATTAAAACGAATAGCTAAAAAATTATAGAGAGAACGTATTTATTTAAACTAATTTTTTTATTGAGGTTAATTTCTTGCAGCTTAATCCCTCTTCCTTACTCATCTAATTTCTCTCGCTTCTGTTTACTCGCTACTTAAATAGTAGACTTTCGATATATCAAATTCAGTTATGCTTTTTTATTTATATGTAAAACTCTACTCTCACGATATCGGCTCGATTGTACCTTCGTCTTCGTCGACAACGACGTGGCGGAGCCCTGTTCCTCGCCATTGATGCAGATGGCCGAGTTCCTCAAAGAACTGCAGTTGCTACTGTACTTCTCCCGATAGGTGTACTACAAACAACACGATAATTCGCGATATAATTACGAATTATCGTCGTAGAGAAAGTGCGTCGCGGAGAAAACGCACGCGAATGCGATTTTTCTCGTTTCAACGCGCGCGAAGTGTCTTTCCTTACGACCGGCCTCTCGTGCGTCCTCATCAACCTCTTACGATGTCGCGGAGACAATATCGCGTGCGCATTGCGTTTCATTAAATTCCGACGGATACACAGTGTGTCGTTACGAACTTGGCCGAGTTATTGAAGCGATACTTCGTGTACGCCAATGCCTTAATGCGAGCCTTCCTGAATCTAGATTTCCCCATGTCATTTTCATCGAATAACATAGGATGTACACATTATTTCTAATATTGAATTTGAAGTTTTATATAGTGATATATTATTCAATCTAATATATACATATATATTATTATAATTATATTTAATATTATTATTTATTTTATTAGAATGTACATATTGTTTCTAACATCAAATTTGAAGTTTTACGCAATGATGTATCATTTAAACTAATACGTATATATTATTATTATTTTATTTATTTATTTATTTATTTACTTATTTATATCACAGAAAATTGAAAAAGATAGATTTGCGAAGTATTTGTAATATAAGATTATTCCCACAAAACGCAAGTAAATGTGATTTCATAATAATTCCACGACTTCTCATTTATTATAATTATTTATCGTTCTCGAGACAAGACATCGGATTTTGCGTTTCGCCCGGCTAGGGGATAAAGTCAGCGGACTGTCGTCAGGCAAGTTGGGAGCCTGAGTCCTTCGTGTTCACACTCGCGGAGGAGGCGAATTAGTGCAAAAAGAACACTTGGAATCATTTACACGGCACGAAGTGGGTTAAGAGATTAATCTCGTGTCGTGGAAGCGCGCGTGAGCGTCATTTCGTAAGCGAGAGTGACGACCGCCGTGGCTTCGCGCTCACCTTGATCGACGCGATGCAGCCAATTAGCGCCACGATGTTGCAGAGCATGTGGTACGCGTTGAGGAGCAGGGTCAGCGAATGAGTCACGTGACTGGCGACGATCTCGACGAGGAAGAAAGTCGTGGTGAAGAACAGCACCAGGTACAGCTGGACCGGCTGCAGCCTCCTGAACCACTCTTTCACAGCCATGACCCTGCGGAGACACGATGGTGAACGTCTATCAGCTCTCTCGACGACACGTCTTCGACGTGGCGTAAGATCGCACTACGTCGCTCTTATTCGCGACTCGTACTTTTCCGCAAGTGCGCTCGATTCCGCCAAGAATTCACTCTCGTCTCTTCGCGTCTCGCGGAGAGACTCGTGTGACTCGGTTCTTCGCGTCGAAGAAGACGAACCCGCGGGCAGAGCACTCGCGTCGTGCTTCGAACTTCACAGTGGCTCGAATTCGCGAGAGTTTCTCGCGACGCGACGAATCGATTTTCCTGAAAAATTTCAAGAGTTCGTAGGGTGTATTTGCTCGAGAGTGCGACTGCGAATGGTAAGAGCGAGATCTCACCTTCTCACTCGCGAAGGAAGCATTGGTGCTTATTAATGTGAATGATAACGACGATCGCGAGCAATACGCGTGCGTGTGCGGACGTGCGAATAACGTTCGAGTGCGAATTTGAATATACGGAGGACGAAATGAATTTAATTGTGAGATTACAGTTCGCGTGGCGCTGCGAAGGGGAATTGAGCACGGTCGAACGAGCGAATCGGAACAGCTCGATTAGACGTTTGTTTCAACGACGAGGGGAGCTAGGATAGTTGTGAAGCTCGCTTTTATAATAATGACACACACACGCGGCGGGAAAACGTTTCGGAGCGAGGGGAGATTACGCGACGGCTTGTTTATTACGAGATCCTCCTCACGGGCGATCACAACAAGATGATCGCGACGAGCTTTTAGTGTACTGCTTTAGCTTAGCGGACAAAAAAGGAACGGCCGAGTCTATCGCATTCTCGATAAAACGCTCCGACGTTAGTGAATGCGGTCAATGCGTTCCAATCAGTCAATTTGTGACACGCATGCACGAACACATACGTTGCGAACAAAGATTCGGCCTTTTTTGAACCTCACGCCCACTCCGAGGAAAATATTTGGTATTCGTCATTATAATCATCGTGGTGAAAGAATTGTAGTTGGGAAAACTATTTTTCCAGCAATTATTGCTATAATGTAGTGATTCAATAATAATAATTTTACATGCACGTTACTATTACTATTTTGGTAGTTAAAACCGTAAAAAGGGTGTAGTTGAAGTGAAAAGTTACCAATAATAATTTCTTTCATTGCACATACCATCGAGCTCACATTTTTCGTTCAGGGAATACGCGCCTTTCAATTCATTGTAAGCAGTACTTCAAAGTGCGTGAAATAAAGTAAATTTAAAATACGAAGACGCTTATTATAAAAATGTTATAAAATAGCTTCAAAATACAAAGATATACTTTTATATTAAAGTACTTTAGAATCATTTAATATTTCGGTCGCTACATACATTCCGTCTCTGCACGTTTTAATAGTCGGATTCATGAGAAATTGATTAAAAAATCTTTTTCTTTATTTTATTAAAAGTAAGTTGTATAAACTAATTTCGTCCGACATCTCGTCGCACGAACGCGTGTCGCCATCCTCGACATATCGTCGCGCTTCCGCTGCATTCGATAAACTAAACCGAGTCGAAATTTTAATCCTACATTAAAGTCCATCTACTGAATTCCCTTTTATCAATGAAAGTCCCTCTAAAAGTGGCTTAGGAATTACCCGATTGGCTGAGAAGCCACATTTAAGGTACTCTTACCGATAAAAGAGAGTTCAGAATACGGACCTTTATATATAACAGTTTGGTTCCACATTAAGTCTCCAAAGGTCTTCTATTGTGCCTCTTTGATGCTACAAATAGGAACCTGTTTCCATCTTCTCTATTTGAAGGCTTAGGCCGGTATTCATAGTTGGATCTTATATTTAAGACCGTCTTAAGTTTATCTTTAAACGCTTCGTAGCCAATGCAATGAGCCGTGTGGCATCTAAAGATAAACTTACGACCCAACTATGAATGTCGGTCATAACGTAGAATTTCAAGTCTCGACTCGAGAGGTTTCCCGAAACTTCATCAACAATACTTACTCGACGCGATCGTCAAGCTATCAGAGCCGTTCAGCCACGCGGTCCTCGAGAACCGGACAGAAGGACGGAAGACTGCGGGGTCTCCTCGGGATGGAGATCCGTGACCGCGTAGACGACGGACGCACCGCGCGCACTGCACGATCGCGAGGAGGAGGAGGAAGAAGGAAGAAACACTCCGTTTCTGGGCAACCGATGTCTTTGCGCTCTTTACCGTTTCAAGCGACTTTTCCCGGGGTTCGAACGTGCAAAGAACGCGGGGCTGGCTCGCTGAAGAAGCGGACAACCGACTGAACTAGACGGCCGAGCGTGCGAAACGATATTGGAGCGGCGTTCACAGACGTGCCCCGCGGTGTTTGAACTCCGACGACGAGTGCGATCGTCCTCGCGACCGGCGGCCGCGAGAGGAGATCCTCTTCTCGATCCTGCCGACCGATCGGCAATCCCACGCGATCCGCGGACCGGGCTGACGAATCGCCCGAGCACTTTGCGGCCCGCGCTACGTGTGAAGTTGTCGCGCTCCTTGACTCCCGAGCAAACTGAGCTGTGATTCATACTCGGCCGCACTTTTTCGACTGCAAATAAGTATCCATGTGAAACATATTAAAATTGGCACTTTGCAGCCCGCCGGCGATGTAATATCGCAGCGGCCTGCCGACGATACGCGTTAACGTCGCGCGAAGTTCGACGCTGCGATCCGCCAACATGGTGATGTCGATTATAAAGTGACGAGTACAATTATGGACAACGTAATTGAAGTACCCGCGAAGACGTGACAGTATCAATTAGCGGAACCACCTCCGATGGAGCTTTTCCACCGGACGATTATATTCCCCAGTGAACACCAACTAACAATAACATAGCGTCAATGTTATAATTTTACACTCAACAACATAACTGTTATATAACATACGCGTTATATTGCATTTATTACAGAAACATTAATTTTCTTACAGAAAAACTGTCTTTCTCTTTGGCCGTCTGAAAACAATGTAGCCAATGTAACTCCAAAAAGGAGCCGGTGTGCTTTAATCTCCCACGGCCGCGCTTATTATTCATCGTCGCACCGCCAGACAATCTGCATCTCTCGCGCAGCACCTGGACCGTTTTTCCTCGAACCCTGAATATCCGTATACCTGCGCGACAATAAGACCTGCCATCGATCGCCTCGGGGCTCTTATCGGGGAGACGCGATTGTTAAGCCGATGAATCATTTGTTGTCGCCCGTAAAATTTCGCACCGCGACCACCTCGCGTTCGCCTCCGCCGCCGATGCGAGAGTCGGCACGACGAGAAATCGGCGACGCCGACCTTCCGACAATTTCGAGCCGGCCGACCGACCGGCCGGCATGCATACGTTTAATCGTTGCTGTTACATCGGGACGTGCGGCGAATCCGATGAGTCGGGAGATTCGCGGCGGAAGGCACGTCTCGGCGTTTTCTTGGTTCACTGAGCGCGCCCGCGCGTCGTGCCTGTGACGGTGATCGATGTCGATCCACGCCTCTTGCATCGTCGTTCAAATCGCGACTGACCGCGACTGACCGCTGCGAATCGAATTCTGTCTTAGAAATAAGATAGGATAGAAGAAGGCGCAACGATCTGAAAGGGTCTAAGATTCTAAAGCATTTCTTGATCGATCTAATCGGATAACTTGACTCTAACAAGATTCGATGATCCATGCGTAAGCTACGTCCGAGCCATCTCGTTCGAAAGCTTATCCCGAACAGTCATTTTGAATGAAAGAAATTATATTCCTAAACAATGTTGTGATAACGGTTAATTAAATACAGGAAAAGATCAGCTGAAACTTCGATATTTCCGATAACTACAGATAAATTGCGAGCGATAATTTCCAAATTTCGTTCGTAAATACCATATGCAATATGTTAGGCATATATGAGCCATTTCATACACCCAACTAACGCAATACCAGCAACCTACACACTGTAGGGAAGAATATGCTCCTTCATTCATTAAGTGAACTATAAGCTATGTGACAACTGACCTATGTGACTTCTAGCCTCAGTTTCCCCCACAGCGTTCTTTTTCCCCTTTTAATTTCCCGCATTTCCACAGATTCGACGGCGATCCTTCCCGGCCTATAACGGTCGATCAGATCCGAGAAAAACGTATCTCGTTTCTCTCCCTTTTTTTTTCTTTTTCACGTTCGTACATCGCGACGAACTAAATCGTTCGCATGCAGGCTCCGCGAGCGTAACAAACGTCGTCGTCGTCATCACGATGACACACACTCTTACACACACACACACATATGTAGACGCGAATGGCACAATTCATAGCGGGTTACACGCATACGTCCGGCGTGTCTGTGTTGAATCGGAGGTGAGGGGGGCCCATCAAAGCGTTAGTTGCGAACATCCGGGCACGGTAATGGGCTTTGAACAACGAAATGCCCGCTCCGCCGATCATTAGCGTCAGCGTCATCTTGGACGGCACTGAACGCTGAACGTGCGATGCACCGGAACGTAAAAATGCAACGAAACCGGCCACCGGGGACGAGACAGTTATTATTACGCGCGATCCGCGCTCAAGATCGATGCATCGATTCTTGTCGCGATCACACCGTCGGGCTTTCTCGTCTGCATGGACGCGCAAAGGGAAAAATATAATGCGCCATGATTGCTCCTATCTTATCGGAAGGCTCTCGTGTCCGTAATGGGTCGGTGAATAATAATAATAGTAATAATAATAATAAAATATTAAAAGGAAGATAAAACAATGAGTTGCACACTCTCGACACTGAATTTTGCTGCAAATTTGCAGCAAAACTGCACGAGATTGCACCTGGAAAGCGTTAGCGCGCGGAAAAATCGATCACAAACTGTACAGTTTTGAAAGCTCGAAAAAAAATCCAGTTTTCCTCATTTTTCCGCGGATTTCTTCGGTTTTTATCCCGAAGACAGAAAAATTCGTTTAAAAATTCACGCGTGTTCAGTTAAAACATGCTATATTTACTTTCTTCCGCAAAGAAGACAAGAAATCAAAAAAATTCGCAGAAAAATAGGAAAAAATACGTTCCTTTCTGAGCCTTCAAAACTATATTATTAGCCATATATCGCCAAAGGATATTTGGAGGTTTTGCAATATTTTGTTGAAATAAAAACCCTACATAATGACGAGGGACATTTCGAGATTACTGTCGCGCAATATTTTCAAATTCGAGGTACTAACTTCGAAATGTTCCTCGTGATTATGCAAAGTTTTTATTTCAGCTTGTACCTCCAACTTTGGCGATTCATGATTAAAAGTGTGTAACGAACTGTCACACGTGCAACTCTTCACGAAATAAATACGAGAGAGAATCGTCTATCGTGATTCAGAAATTGCCCAAGTGTGCTCTTAATACTTTCTCTCTCTCCCTTTCTCCTTTTTTTCCTCTCTCTCTCTTTCTCTCGCTCCCTTACAAAAAAAACGATTTATCGCCGCGCGATGCTGACGAGAATGGGTACTGACCTCCGAACTGCTGGATCGCTGGGCGACGTGTGCTCGTGTATAAACGTCGGTGCTCAAGAATGCGAATACGCAGTTGATCGCGCGAGCTACATCGACGCTCAATGGTCCAGTCGTTCGTTACGAGTGATCGAGCCGCAAATTCGCGACGGAAATTTTCAGGCAAGGGACCTCGGGACAACCGTGTAACTCGCTCATATCACGCGGGTGAACTGACGGTTTCCCGCCGGCCACGCGTAGATTATATCGGCTGCCCATTGTGATCGAAAGCGGACAGAAAGTAGCCGATAACGCGCGATTATCAGCGATCGCCAGTCGCGGACGATCAAATAATACAGTCGAACGAGAGTATAAAAGAAACAATGTCTGATAACGGCCGGACCACCGGAAAATTCGACTTCGGACTGTTCGTGAACTGCTTTCAACGTCTGAAGCCAGAGTACGCCCTTTTAACCCTTAAACCGGAATATCCATT